CAGGATACTGGCTCTGTTACACAGAAGTCAATCAGGTTCATGTGAACAATGGTGGGAAAACAAAGTGGAACATTTCCACTTGCTGTGTTGTTCTGCCTGCACCTGTCGTCATAAAGCCAGTGGGATTTCTGTCTTGTGCTGCGACAGCAGGACTAAGCTGTGTCTGTCCCCAGCTTCTCACCTGGCAAGATTGAAGGTGATAACAGTTCAATGCTGAATGGAATCCATGTTTGTTCGTGGCAGGTTAACTGGGGAATTACTTGTGCCACCCTGAAAGGGCTGGGTCTCTTTGCCTTGGGTGGATCCATCCCACTGTGATAGGAAAAAGTAAATACTGCTCCAGGAAGCACATCAGCTATTTGGGAACTGGGTGGCAAGACAACCTGAAGAGGGAAGGCGTTTCTGAGATGTCATGATGAAGGAAAACCTGTCACTCGGACTATGTTATTATATAACTACAGTGCCTCGGATCCCCAGACTAACTTGATTGCTCCATGCTTTGTAATAAATAAAAGTAACTTTCCCAAGCTCTGTGACTTTGATGCTCCAGTTCCAAGAGCTGGGTTTCTTAATTTTGTCTCTTTATTAGAATTGAAACCTGTTTTATACCTTTTCCTTGTAGTCTTTATCCTGACTCTGCCTTTTAAAAGTACATAATTGCAATTGCTTCTGGTCGCCTTTCCATAGGCTGCTCTTGGCTTTAGTGGGTGGATGTTATTTTAGCCTTATGTATGAATGCCCAGGCTTGAACCACATACCCTTTGAACACAATGCAGGTAACATTTGCTCTGAACTTTTAATTAGGACAAACTGCTATTTCAACTAATATTTAGTTGCCTTTAACTTGTTCTGGCTAAGTATGCTACATAGCTTCCTTCCATAGCCTTCTTGTTTATCAGCCATGTTGCAGAAAGTGTTTAAGTTGCAAGTCTGAAGAATGGCACTATATCCTTTTGTGAAATAAATACCCCATCCTCAAACGCTCACACATAGAAAGTCAGCTAATGGTGACCTTACTTCTGTTTCTGACTTTCAAAGCTATTTAAGAAGAAGCTTAAAGCAGAATAAATGTGTATGTCCAGTGGTAATGGAAAAGCCCTCTACTTCTTAAGAAAGCATGGACTGAGGAATGCAGACCCTATTAGAATTGCAGAAGCTGATAGGCCCCTTACTTTTTATAAATGGAAAGTTAATGCGTAAATGTAAGAGGTCACGGTGGCACAGCAGGTTAAATTGCTAAGTTACAGAAGTTGCTGATTGGAAGGTTGGCAGTTCAAATTCACAGATGGGGTGAGCTCCTGTTGTTAGCCCCAGCTTCTGCCAACCTAGCAGTTCAAAAACATGCAAATGTGAGTAAATCAATAGGTATCACTCTGGCGGGAAGGTAATGGCACTCCATGCAGTCATGCTGGCCACATGACCTTGGAGGTGTCTACGGACAATGCTGGCTCTTCGGCTTAAAAATAGAGTTGAGCACCACCCCCCAGAGTTGGACACAACTAGACTTAGTTTCAGGGGGAACCTTTACCTTCACTGTGTAAGTGCTCATGAATCTTTGATGATGACAACATATATTCTCTTGCTGCCTATATGTAGCTTTTATGTATTGCGAAGATATCCACATCAAGGAAGGAACTATTGATTTGAAACATGTGCATATTAAAACCAAGCACTCCCGGAACAGACAGGCCATATTTATTGTTTTAAAATATTAAATGCTGGCTTTCCAGCCAAAGCCTCCCCCATTTGCCTTCCATTAAAAAAAAAACCCGAGAACAGCTACAGCCAGTAAACTTTTAAAAACATACCTAGGAAGTAGATTTTTTTAAAAAAAACAAAACAAAACCTAGTTATGGATATGTTTTGGAAAAAACATAGAGTGCAGGTCTATGCATTAAATGAGCTATTTTCATCCCTGCATTTCATTAAAACCAGGGCCTACAGTAGAACCAGCCATATATTAAATATCAATGGTATCCATGATTTCAGTTCTTAGTTCTGACCTTATATTTCCCATTTCATTGGCTGAATGGGTGAGCTGTCCCGTATCCCATGTTTCATTTCCCCGGTGTAACTATTAGCTAGCCTAAGCTTGTTTTCCAATATTTATTTATTTATTTATTTACAGTATTTATATTCCTCCCTTCTCATCCCAAAGGGGGTAGATCACAGAGGTATATATCGGCTTTTCGCGTCTTCAGCATCTTGGAGGCTTTGTGCTCGGTTCCGGCCATTGGAGCGGAGGGTGTTGCTTCATCTCCCTGCCAAAAAGCTTTGTTCGTAAACTTTTCTCCTTTTGATCAAATCGCTGACATTCCTTATAGGTACCTCAGAATATCTCCCTGCTTTTAAGCGGTACCTACTTATCTACTCACATTTACTTTTGAACAACTAGGTAGGTGGACGCTGGGCTAAAGGCCAGGAGCTTATCCTGACCCGGGCTTCAAACTGGCATCCTTTTAACGACTAGATTTACTGCTGCTGGTAGTTTAGCCTGCTGTGTTAAAACCTTATACTGTACATGCGTAACCTAAATTTTCCATCCTGTCAAGATAGACTGGCAACTACGATTTGAGTGTAGTAAATGATTGAATAGATGGATCCATCTTACCAACAGGAGAGTTTTTTGAGTGGAAGGGTACAACATTGTAAAAAGCTAAGACATCTGCTAAAGACAGAATATCTTCCCAGAACCACAGCTAGTCTGCCAAAATTTGTCTTCCGTTTATATTGGATTAGATACGTCCAATGGGCAGTGAGTCAATAGCACATAAGAGATTATATCTATGTATTTTCATAGTGAGGCTGAGAAACAAATAATTGCCTGCTAAATAATTGAAAAACAACTCTTCATACTCCAGTAACCAGTAGCATTGGGTCTCTTTTTAGAAGGGAGAAAGTGGAATAATAATAATAATAATAATAATAATAATAATAATAATAATAAGGAGTGCTGTGCTGGTAGATGCAACGAGCTGCTGCTAGAACAGACTTGGACATCCAAGCATTTAGAGCAGCGTTAGAGCAGGGGTTGTCAGAGGGGTCACTAAAGACCATCAGAAAACACAGTATTTCTGTTGGTCATGGGGGTTCTGTGTGGAACGTTTGGCCCAATTCTATCGTTGGTGGCATTCAGAATGCTCTTTGATTGTAGGCAAACTATAAATCCCAGCAACTACAAGTTCCAAATGTCAAGGTCTATTTTCCCCAAACTCCAGCAATGTTCACATTTGAGCATATTGAGTATTCGTGCCAAGCTTGGTCCAGATCCATCATTGTTTGAGTCCACAGTGCTCTACCTGGATGTAGGTGAACGACAACTCCAAAACACAAGGTCAATGCCCACCAAACTCTTCCAGTATTTTCTGTTGGTCATGGGCGTTCCCTGTGCCAAGTTTGGTTGAATTCCATCGTTGGTGGCGCTCAGAATGCTCTTTGATTGTAGGTGAACTATAAATCCCAGCAATAACTCCCAAATGACAAAATCAATCCCCCCCCCCCCCCCCCCCCCCCCCCCCCCCCAACCCCAGCAGTGTTCAAATTTGGGCGTATTGGGTATTTGTGCCAAATTTGGCCCAGTGAATGAAAATACATCCTGCACATCAGATCTTTACATGATGGTTCATAATAATAGCAAAATTACAGTTATGAAGTAGCAACAAAAATAATGTTATGGTTGGGGGTCACCACAACATGAGAAACTGTATTAAGGGGTCATGCCATTAGGAAGGGTGAGAACCACTGATTTAGAGCCAGTCCTATTAATGAGAGAGCTAGAGTGCTCTAGATCAGGGCTTTTCCCACTCACCACCCCTTTTGATCTGATAAATGTTTACACGACCTCTAGGTATATAGGTATAAAAACAAATATTAAATCAGCATTTACAAGGCTTGCTGGTCTTCCTTTTTATGAAGTTCAGTTCAGCTGAAGCATCTTCTCCAGAGTCCAATGTAAACAGTACAATAGATTTGGGTGAATGTCTCCCACAGCCACTAAGTGACCTTCAGAAATGTTTACTGTTGTCAAATTGTTCATGACCCCAGCATTGAGCTTGGGGTAGAGAACCACAATTTAAGAAACTGTGGTCTAGATTAGAAAGTCAGTTTGGCAACTGAGAAATCCATGTTCTAATCCCAGTTTAGTAGTAAAACCTTAGGCCAACCACTATTCTCAGCTAGAATGATCTCACAGATTGGTTATGAAGGTACAGTGGGGAGGAAGTGAGTCTGTCAACCAGTTTGAGCACATTGGAGGGGGAGGCAGGGATGTAACAACAACAACAATAACAATATTATTTTTATAAACTGCTGACCATCTCCCCAAGGGGACTCGGGGTGGCTTACAAGGGACAAGCCCAAAGAGTTATAAATAAAACACAAACAATTAAAAACATCAGATAAAATATAAAAAACCATAATCGTAAACAACATCAAAATAATATGGCTGAGAAAAAGGAACAAAGCTGTTAAATACCCTAAAGCAGTTTCTCAAACTCTGCTCCTCCGGATGTTATTAAATTTTAAACCCCACAATTCCTAACAACTGGTAAGCCAGTAGGGATTGCTGGGAGCTGAAGTCCAAAACACATGGAGGAGAAGACTTTGAGAAGCACTGCCCTAAAGCAGTGATTCTCAACCTGTTGGTTCCCAGATGTTTTGGCCTTCAACTCCCAGAAATCCTAACAGCTGGTAAACTGGCTGAGATTTCTGGGAATTGTAGACCAAAACCCCTGGGGACCCACAGGTTGGGAAGCACTGCCTTCAAGGGTTACCACACCCAAGAAAAGGGGGAATTCCTCTCCAATATTTTGCCTCATAGATTTGAGGTTAAGACAGGGTTTTAAAATCTGAGCTGTGTGTATTTCTATGTGCAATAACTCACTTTCTACCTCAAAGGTACAATGGTTATATCCATCACACAATGATTTTGTTCTTTGCCACTGCACCACCGAATTCTTGTAATATAATGCCTTTTTCTCCTCTCTCTTTCTCTTCCACAGCTCTGTGGCATTGCGCTGATCGCCCTGGGGGTTTATGTACAGATTGAGCTCAGCAAGACATTGCAGACGACCAGCTCTGTCTCTGTGTCAGGTGCCCCCATCGTCATCTTGGCTGTAGGCGTGATTGTCTTCTTCATCTCCTTTTTCGGTTGCTGTGGAGCAATAAAAGAGAACTACTGCATGGTTACTACGGTGAGGAGGGGGGTCAGTGGAGAAGAAGCAGGGTGTGTGGAGATTTCAGTGGTCACCAGGAGGGAGAGGTAAAACAGATTTGTGGGGCTAATACAGGCACGGGCAAACTTTGGATCTCCAGGTGTTTTGGACTTCAACTTTCACAAGTCCTAACAGCTGGTAAGTCCAAAACACCTTATTATTATTTTATTTTATTTTCTGTATTTATATACCGTCCCTCTCAACCTGCAGGTGACTCGGGGCGGTTTACAATTGGTGCCAAGACCATAAAATACCATTTTAATACAATAAAAACAATCAGATATAAAAACCATAACGAAATCCATAAAAACATAAACATTGGGGTCTCCTATTAAAAACATCGTCCAATCATCATTCAACCATTCCATTTTCCTATGTCTATTACACTGTATTTGGAAATTGCCTGCTCAAAGAGCCAAGTCTTTTGAAATGTTAAAAGGGAGGGGGCTGATCTGATATCCTTAGGGATGGTGTTCTATAGCCAAGGGACCCCCAATGAGAAGGCCCTGTCTCTCGTCCCCGCCATCCGTACTTGTGACGAAGGTGGGACCGAGAGCAGGGCCTCCCCAGATGATCTTAAAGTCCTGGACGGTTCATAAGGGGAGATGCGTTCAGACAAGTAAGCTGGGCCAGAACCGTTTAGGGCTTTATAGGCTAAAGCCAGCACTTTGAATTGTGCCCAGTAGCAGACAGGCAGCCAGTGGAGCTGGCGCAACAGAGGAGTTGTATGCTCCCTGAGTGCCGCTCCTGTTAGCAATCTGGCTGCTGTCCATTGGGCCATTTGAAGCTTCCGGACAGTCTTCAAAGGCAACCTCACTTAGAAAGCATTGCAGTGTCTATATAGGATGTAACCAGAGCGTGGACTACTGTGGCCAAGTCGGACTTCCCAAGATATGGGCACAGCTGGTGCACAAGCTTTAACTGTGCAAATGCTCCCCTGGTCACCGCCGAAACTTGGGGTTCCAAGCTCAGTGATAAGTTTGTTATTATTATGGCTGACATGAGTATTTTTGTAAACAAAAAGACAAATGGGAGCACAGCTGAGTAATTCCTAGAGAGTACTTGGATTTGAGGAGGGAAAGTGATGAAATGGAAGGCAACCACAGATAGAGTTACGAAGAAGTAAACCATAGATAAAGGAGACAAAGGAGAACAAGCAGTGGCTGAAGGGATGATAGACAAAAGGGAAAACACATAGTATATAGTCATATAAAAGTCAAGGAGAGAAGAAATAGAATGGAATAGAATAAAATAGAAGAAGAAAGAAGAACCCAGTGAAAAATAATTACGTCCTTTTCAAGAGCTAAAGATAAAGAAAAAGAAAATGATGAACAGACGTGAGTTGAAAGAAGAAGTAATAAGTCTAAGAGATATCATAGTAGAGATACAGAAGTCATCAGAGAAGCAAGATGAATTCCAAAGGAAACACGAAGGACATCAAGAATCAATAAAGGTGGAAATGATGAAGTGGAAAGAAAAAGAAAAAGTGACACTCAAAAAAGAGGTTAATATACTTCAAGAAGTTATAAAAAAAWATAAACGAGATGAAAAGAAAATAGCAGTATTACAAGAGAAATTACAGGGGAAAAATAGATAAGATAGAGGGAAKAGACTTTGAGATCTGAAGTTTGCCCATGCCTGAGCTAGTAGAATATATTCCCCCTAACCCCCCCCCCCCCCGTTACAATTCTAGCTTCTGGTTTCCCATACAACCCAGGCATCTGGCAACAAACACAGGTTGTACTTTGCCCTACGGGTGTGTTTTAGTCTCTAGGGGACATTGGCAGTGTGCAAGAAGTACTATTTGTTTTTTAACAACAAAGAAAGGTGGTGATGCAGCAGTCATAGAAAAACCAGGAGTCAAGGGTCCTTGGAATTCCATTTGGAAGCTTTCTGTCTCTGACATCATTGAGAACCTCACCAGAAAAGGCTATACACATGTTAAAAAATAATTATTTACTAAAGAAATAATGAATCCATCAAATCTCTAGATGTTTCATAATTTGTATACATTAAGGGGAGGAGTAAGGAACTACATAAGACACTGAAATCTCAATCTTGTCCGTCTGCTTGTTGGGGTTTTCTCCCAAAATTGTTTCCCAATATTTTACCTGGTTTCAATGGCTGCAAAGAATAGAATGTTTGGTTTCTTATTTAAAAAAACAAAACAAAATACAGAACTGCTTCCACTGTTTTGCAGGTGTGCAGGATAATACCGTGGATGCAAGATTCTAAAATAGTCATTCTCTAGTTAATATTTCTGTCTGGCCTGACAAGGAACTAGTATGGACCTCTCAGGTGGACAAAGACAGGACTGCTAGAGAACATGAGTAAGGGCTTCCCATCTTCTAGGATTAGCCTTCTTTTCTATCTATTCTGTAACTATTGTTCTTCTCATAGGTATAAAGACTGAAAGTTACTGAGTGGAACTGTATAATATACTATTGACATTCTGTTGCTATTTACTTTAAACTATTGAGGTCTGAAAAAGAATGGTGCTTGGTTCACAATGCAGTTTAGATAGAGAGATGTAGTTAGTTCTCAAGGAGCTAGATCCTCAATACAGTCATTCTTCTGTGCTCATTGATGCAACTATCCATGACCTTAAAATGCTTTTTCAAAATCCAAAACGGAAGGTTTGATTTATCTAGGGGACCACGTGTTTACTATGTCATTGTATATAACGGGATTTGAGCATGCATGGATTTTGGTATCAATGACTAGGAGAAAGTGAAAGGAGGTAGTTCAAAATATTGTGGATGAATATTTGAACAGCAATTAGCAGAGCAAGACAGGGGTCCTCATCACACTAGAGAATGAATCCACTTTAAATCCGGTTTCTGCCTCTTGCAGAATTTTGGGGTTTGTAGTTTAGGGAGGAGCCTTTAACAGCTTCACTCAACTACAAACCCCAAAATTCTGCAAGAGGCAGAAACCGGATTTAAAGTGGATTCATTTTCTAGTGTGATGAAGTAGTTAGAGACCATTTATTGCCACTATTTACATCTGGGGGCCCTTCCACACAGCCCTATATCCCAGAATATCAAGGCAGAAAATCCCACATTATCTGAGTGTGTACTCAAATAACCCAGTTCAAAGCAGATATTGTGGGATTTTCTGCCTTGATATTCTGGGATATAGGTCTGTGTGTAAGGGCCCTGGGAAATATTGGTGGATCTGATCACATCAGGATTTTGGAAGCAGAGAGAAGGCTGATGGAGAGCACTGCCATTTTGGAAATGGCAGAGAAATGCATAATTTTTTCCTCACCTTGAGCGGAATAGGGTCATGATACTATAACCCTCCACAATCACGGGGGTTAGCGACACAGGGCCCTTTGAAAGTAGAAAAACATGAATATTTTGAGCCCTCACACATATATGCTACAGGCTCTGCTGCTGCGCCAATCAAGGCCGCCTCCACCACACCACCAATGCTTTCACCTCCTAGAACAACTACACTGCTACAAAAATCTCCTGCTGTTTTGTTGTTCTCTCCCCCCACCCCACCACCACCACTCTCTGTCTCCTCTCCAAGACATACTTTGATGCATACCTCCTTTTCCTAACTTGGTACTATGAGGCCTCAGCCTTACTCCAAGCCACCTCTTCCTCCCCTCACTCCACTGCCACTTCTCAACTATCCTCCTCCTTCCTGAGTTGGAGCTGGGTGTGGAGTTCTCATATCATCATGGTTTTCTTGTGGGTGGCATTGCTGGCTGGTCAGCTAGCAGAGTGGCAAGAAAGAAGCAGGCACGTGCAAATTTCCAGAGAGGGGCCCTGTGATGGGTTGGGCTGCTACTGAGTTTTCATGTAAAGATACAAGATTCCCCCAGCCTACTTCTCCCAGCCAAACTCAGGAAGACACAGCTCCCCTGGCTCTTTTGCTGCAATTTGCCTGTGTCTGCCTCCACTGGCACCCCTGTTTGTGGTGCAGGACCATAAGTAGAACCTCACTCTTGGCATTTTGGTCCATAGGGCGCTCCCTTGGAATTACAGTGGAAGGACCAGGCAATGTGTGCCCACTCAAGTCTGGCTTGGAAGGAAGAAAGGAAGGAAAAGTCAGATAGAGGGAGGAACGGGATACACCATGGCATGCCTGTCTAACTCCCAGGGGGTCTTCCATCTTGTTCCCCCTTCCATGCCCAACCTGTGACCAAGTTTTCCTTCACAGCAGCCTCATTCCTCTCCCGCATAGAAAGAGAGTTCTTCCTCAAGAGAAGTATGTTATGTTTCCCTCTCTTGCCCAAAGAAGGCTGGGGACTTGTTCCATGGTGGAAAGGAAGGCACATGCGAAGCCAATTGATCTTCCCTCTGAAGAAGAATCGGAGGCCTTCCTTAGTGAAGAGAGTCATTGGAAGCTGGCTGTTCCTCTTTTGGCCCAAGAATGAAATTAGTCTCTTTTTTTGGCAGTGAAAGCATGGTTTGGCTGCTGTACCCCTTTCCTCTGAAGAAGGTCAGAGAGTCCTTCCTCAGCAAAGAGAAGTTTGGAAAGTTTGCTGTACCCCTCTCTGCCAACCTGGTGCAGGGCAGCAGCAATGGTGACGACAATAGCAATAACCAGCAAATAATAACATTTGCAAAGGTTTAAACCACAAGTGTGAAAGTACAACTACTTGATAGCCTTTGAATAGGGATAAATGCTGAGTTGATTATTTATGTAGACCCTGGTAGAAGGTTCGAGTTGAAGAGGTTACTGTTCTGTTGTTAGGCTGTCATGCCAAGATCTTTGGTCTTGGGATGAGGTGAAATTTGTGTGGTTTGGGATTATTTTCTCATTAACAATGTCGTCAAGGTGCAGTGGGCTAAAACCCCTGAAGACTCATTAATATTAAAACGCTTTATTCCCTTGTCCAGTTTGCTGTCCTGCTGACGCTGATCTTCCTGGTGGAGATTGCTGCTGCCATTGCTGGCTATGTCTTCAAGGATAAGGTAAGACATGTCCTTGGATATTAATCAATGGTTTCCTCCGTATTTCTCACTGAAATTCCCTAGGGAGAGGCTACAGATGAAGTCTTTCTTTAAGTTGATGTCTACTACCAGAAAAAAATATATCCAGAAGTTGTGTTTGCACCCCCAAATTGGTATTCTTTCTCAGGCTGGCTCAGTTGTTCACATTGGGTTCTGGCTGTCTTGCCAAGATTGAATAACCTTACTCCCTTATCTCATCTGCTGTCTTTCCCTAGGTCAAGGAAATTATTGATACTGAAATCAAAGAAGAAATGAAGCAGTATAATAACTCAGACATTCACAAGGCTTTGGACGACATTCAGAAGACTGTGAGTGAAACAAAAAAGCACTATTTCTCATTTTTATTTATTCACTAGCTGCCCCCTGCCACGCGTTGCTGTGGCCCAGTCTAGTGACCTGGAAAATAGTGTTGGATTCTAATATATGTAGTTTCTTTATGCTTGTGGGTAAACAGTATTTCTTGTCAGTGTTGATATAGAGATTGACTGGTTTGCCTACTCTGGAACATGCAACATATCATTGTTCTTCTTTAGAGGTCCCTTTGAAATCTATGATATTATATCTAACATATATATGTGTGTGTGTGTGTGTGTGTGTGAATCATATCTGTTTATCAATATATATGGCTGAATGGTTCTTTGTCAGGAGGCTTTGTTCATGTTTTCTTGCCCAGGTGAAGGGAGTTGGACTGGATGACCTTAAGGCAGCATTTCTCATCCTGGTGGTCAGGACCCTGGGCGGTGGGGGGTTGTGAGGGGGTGTCAGAAGAGTCACTGAAGACCACCAGAAAACACAGTATTTTCTGTTGATTATGTGGGTTCTGTATAGAAAGTTTGGCCCGATTCTCTCGTTGGTGGGGTTCAGAATGTCCTTTGATTGTAGGTGAACTGTAAATCCCAGTAAATACAGCTCCCAAATGTCAAGGTCTGTTTTCCTCAAACTCCACCAGTGTTCACACGTGAGCATGTTGAGTATTCGTGCCAAGTTTGATCCAGATCCATAATTGTTTGAGTCCACAGTGCTCTCTGGATGTAGGTGAACTACAACTCCAAAACTCAAGTTCAATGCCAACCAAACCCTTTCAGTATTTTCTGCTGGTCATGGGAGTTCTGTGTGCCAAGTTTGGTGGAGTTCAGAGTGCTCTTTGAATGTAGGTGAACTATAAATCCCAGCAACTACAACTCCCAAATGACAAAATCAAGTTTTTGAGTGATGGTAGGCATATTGTGTCCAAAGTTACTCAGGTAACACTGCCCCTCTGTTTTAGAATACAACTCCCATAACAGTGGCCATTGGGCATGAGGTCCAAGCCAGATTGAAATTGTAGTCCCAAATATCCAGACACGATCAATCTTATTTGTAGGTGGCTTTATCTATAAAGCAGGCAGATTTGCTATAATTCATAGTCTGGGCTGTCAGACCTCTTTTTTTAAGTTCAGTGATTTATGAATTTATAGATTTTTTTAAAAAGAATCTATAAATTTTTAAGTCAGTGGGGATCACTTCCTCTTGGGTGGCAGTAAATTTTATAAATCATCAGCGGATACCTGCTGCAGACGCTGCTGTCTCCTGATTCTGGGGACTGCATGGACAAAAATTTTAAAAAATCAGATCCCAAAAGATTAGATGTCTGCTTCCAGTTTTGAAAACATATGTTTCAATGTTAAATGGTGCAATGGATCCCTGCAGCCCATTGGGGGGAAAACATTTTATCAACGAGGACAATAACTTAGAAAATTGGGAAGAGGTCAAGTGTGGCAAAAATAGCTGTGGGAGCCCAAATGCTGCCCAGGGACATTCTTTACTATAAGAAAGCTGTATGAAGCTGATCCATCCTATTCCACCAGTTTTAATCCAGATTTAAATACCTTAAAAACACCAGATTCCATTTGACCTAAGCAGTGCTAGTCCTGGCTAGTACTTGGATAGGAGACCACCCATGATCACCAGGTGTTGTAGACTAGTACTTAGTAGTAGTAGTAGTAGTAGTAGTTGTGGTGGTAGTGGTAGTAGTAGTAATAATAATAATGAAGACTCTGGCACAAGCCAGTAAAGGTGGTTCCAGTGGTGATCAACACACTGAGTGCAGTGCCTAAAGACCTTGGCCTGCACTTAAACACAATCGGCTCTGACAAAATTATCATCTGCCAGCTGCAGAAGGCCACCTTACTGGGATCTGCACGCATTATTAGCTGATACATCACACAGTCCTAGACACTTAGGAAGTGTCTGACGTGTGATCCAATACAACAGCCAGCAGAGTGATCTTGTTTGTTGTGTAGTAATCTTGTGTTTATAATAATAATAATCATCATCATCATCATCATCTTTATTTTTACCGCACTGCCATCTCCCCAGAGGGACTCGGGGCAGCTCACAAAACCACTCTAGGGTGTCACACATAAAAAAGAAATACATAAGCATAAAAGCAGTACATCATACATTTAACCAAATACAAGTGAACAGGCATCATCATCAAATGATAACATTTTAGATTTAAAACATAGTAATACCTGTGAATAAACTGGGCATCTTCAAAGCAGTTAAAGTGCCAGAGTAACCACTAGTCCTCACATTTAACCACAGTGGACTTCTTAAACTTCTTAAACTATGGGCCCCAATTGACTGCCCTCAGCTCAATGTTTGGGTTACTGAATACTTTGTAGCAATACAAGTTTTCTGAATGACACCTTCACACGCCCCTATACACACACACATACACTAACCTTCCCCTGCCACGTGTTTCTGTGGCCCAGTCTGTGTATATGTGTTTTTTGTGTATATTTGTGTAAATATGTGGTTTTGTGCATACGTAATGTATATTTTTTGGCTTTTTAAGTCTCCTCTGTTGTGTTTTTCAGTGTTTTTATGAGTGATGGTCACTCGTTGGCCTGATAGGTTCATTGCGTCCGAATTTGGTGTCAATTCATCCAGTGGTTTTTCTCGGGCCAAAAAGGGTTAGAATCATTGAGTTGGAAGAAACTCCAAGGGCCATCTAGTCCAACCCCCTGCCATGCCATGCCATGCCATGCAAGGTGTTGTGAGTGGAAAAGTTTAAGAAGCCTTGCTGTAGGTTATATATCAGAGGAAGGACTGGCAAAATCAGTGTCTCATGCTTAGGAAGCTCTACTGTTATAACCTCAATATTGTTTTCTTCAGTGTTGTGGGCACTGCTGACTTGGAGACCTGGTTTGACAAAGACGGCGCTTCCATAATGCGCGTGTGGTCTTTCCGCTACTAGGACCATTCCTGGAACTTTGGGTCGTTTCTGTTGCTCATCCTTGTGTGTTTCTTGGACACACAGCACATCGCATTTCTTATCTCGGCACAGTTCATAGAGCAGTCGCTCTTTGGCAGCTGACATGCCTTCGATATTTATTGAGATTATTGTCATGGTTGGTCCTGAAAAGGACCGTTGGTTGTTTTGCTTGGCTGGTCGCTTCTGTGGCGAGAGAATCTGCCGTCTACGAAGACGTTGCCCAGGGGACGCCCGGATGTCTTGCAATCCTGAGAGGAGGCTTCTCTCATGTCCCCCAGTGGATCAAGTTGATCACATACGTCGACATGGGCAGGAGCAGCCAGAAGGCATGGAGGCTGCTGAGACGGTTGAGCAACGACCCCTCACAAACTAATACCCATGCCAACATAAAGGCAGATCAGATAGCACACCAACTCTTGAAGAATGGGAAACCCAACTTTGCCACCAAAGTAGGAAAGAAACCAATAGCCAGACAACCAGAGATTGAGAACAACAACCTCCATGAACCCTTTACACCTATTGAATTGGACATGGCTCTCAATAAATGTAAAAATGGCAAAGCAGCTGGCCTGGATGATCTACGGATGGAACAAATCAAGAACTTTGGTCCCAAAGCAAGGCGCTGGCTGCTGGAGCTGATGAACAACTGCACAGCATCCTGTCAGATCCCCAAAATCTGGAGGAAAGCAAGAGTCATCGCCATCTTGAAGCCAGGCAAAGACCGTAATGACCCAAAAAGCTACAGACCAATCTCCCTGTTGTGCCACCTCTACAAAGTTCTGGAGAGACTTATTCTGCATAGAATTATGGAAAAATAGACCCATGTCTGATTCCACAGCAAGCTGGCTTCAGGAAAGGCAAAAGCTGCACATCGCAAGTGCTGAACCTGACTCAGCACATAGAAGATGGCTTTGAAAGGCAGCAGATCACAGGAGCTGTCTTCATAGACCTGTCAGCAGCCTATGATACTGTCAACCACCGCCTCCTCCTGAGAAAAATGTATAATATCACAAAGGACTACCACCTCACCCGCCTCATAGGAAACCTGCTACAAAACAGGAGCTTTTCTGTTGAGTTCCAGGGCCAGAGAAGCAGATGGCGGAAACAGAAGAACGGCCTGCCTCAGGGGAGCGTGCTTGCTCCATCCATGTTCAACATCTACACAAATGACCAGCCACTGCCAGAAGGGACAGAGAGTTTCATCTATGCTGATGATCGTGCCATTACTGCTCAAGCAGGGAGCTTTGAGACTGTAGAACAGAAGCTCTCCGAAGCTCTAGGTGCTCTTACTGCCTACTACAGGGAAAACCAGCTGATCCCTAACCCATCTAAAACACAGACATGTGCCTTTCATCTCAAGAACAGAGAAGCATCCCGAGCTCTGAAGATCACCTGGGAAGGAATCCCACTGGAGCATTGCAGCGCACCCAAATACCTGGGAGTCACTCTGGACCGTGCTCTTGACCTACAAGAAGCACTGCCTGAACATCAAGCAAAAAGTGGGTGCTAGAAACAATATCATACGAAAGCTGACTGGCACAACCTGGAGGATCACAACCAGATACAGTGAAGACATCTGCCCTTGCGCTGTGCTACTCTGCTGCTGAGTATGCATGCCCAGTGTGGAACACATCTCACCATACTAAAATAGTGGATGTGGCTCTTAATGAGACATGCCGCATTATCACGGGGTGTCTGCGCCCTACACCACTGGAGAAATTACACTGCTTAGCCGGTATTGCACCACCTGACATCCGCCGGGAAGTAGCAGCCAATAGTGAAAGGACCAAGGCAGAGACATCTCCAGCTCATCCCCTGTTTGGGTATCAGCCAGCACGCCAACGACTTAAATCTAGATATAGTTTTCTAAGATCTACAGAGACACTCGCTGGAACACCTCAGCAAGCGAGAGTCCAAAAGTGGCAGGCTCAAACCCAGAACCTCAACCAATGGCTGATACCAAACGAGAGACTCCCCCCTGGGCACACAGAGGACTGGGCGACTTGGAAGGCGCTGAACAGACTGCGCTCTGGCACCACGAGATGCAGAGCCAACCTTCAAAAATGGGGCTACAAAGTGGAATCCTCGACATGCGAGTGTGGAGAAGAGCAAACCACTGACCACCTGCTGCAATGCAACCTGAGCCCTGCCACATGCACAATGGAGGACCTTCTTGCAGCAACACCGGAAGCACTCCAAGTGGCCAGATACTGGTCAAAGGACACTTAACCAACTACCAAACTCACAAGTTGTGTATTTTTCTGTCTGTTTGCTTGTTCTGTAATATATAATGGACTGGTTGCTCTGACACGACAAATAAAAATGCTTAGGAAAACCCTGTGAAATTTGTAAGGTCAACATAAGTTGACACATGCACACAGAGTGTGGTTCAATAGAAAGAGTATCATGCTCTACCATGCGTTAATTCATTTTGAATGAATGAATCCTGGCTGGCTTCTACTACTTATCTTCAAAATGGAATATAATGGAATACCTTTCATAAAACTTAATCATGAGTATTAGAAAATGTTTTTTACTCTGGAAGTGTTGAAGTAGGTTGCTAACCTAAAAACCATGCTACTATGGGAAATGCTCACATCTCTCTTTCCTCTTGCCCCTCTACCCTGTCTGTAGTATCGGTGCTGTGGAGCCTCTAATTACAGTGACTGGTTTTCCGTGAAAGGGTTTGAGCCTGATCGAGTGCCTCAATCATGCTGCAAGAATGGCTTGAATTGCACAACGAACCCAACAGATGAGAATGTCTACACAGAGGTTAGTATGGGGAACTATTAGGGAGGCATATATTAGTGACTACCTGGTGGACTTCCCAAGGCACTCTTCCTGTTTTTTTTCTTCTTCTTTCCATATAGGGTTGTGTGACAGAAATAGAGGGCTTGATGAAGAAACATATTGTAGTTGTGGCCGCAGTAGCACTGGGCATTGCTTTCTTTGAGGTACGATTATAATGTTCTTTCTGGAAATGTATGTACGCATGCATGCTCTGCCTTGTTGTATGATGCTTGTGAGCAATATCTTCAAACTTAGTGATGTCAGTATTACTATTTAGGCCTGAGTAATATTTATTATTCACAAAAAGTTATGACTTCACCATTTAAAATTTTCACCTTTATTAAAATGTGGTTTGACCATTTTAAAAAGCCCAAGCAGTTTCCTCAAAGCAGGAAACTTGTATTGGAGAGAGAAAGAAGTCAGTGTTGCCTGCCATCTTCACATATGAGTGATGTATTGGGCTGCTGCTGCTCCTTTGCCAGTCTAATACACTATCTTGATAAATATGGGCTATATTTTCCTTGCTGGGTAGGTCAATGAAACTAGTGTTGTATCCTTCACAGCTGGTTCCTGTCCAATGCAAATGTTAGAAGGCTTGAGGATCTTGGTCTCTGGGGAAAGGGGGAATTATGTTTTTCCCCTCTTGTAGCCACCCTAGCAAACACCTCTAATAGAAACAGAGGATGTGCCTGTTTGGCTTTCTTAGAGCTGAGATCTTCTTAAAACTCAGGTTCAACATTCCAGTTCTTTTAAGGTTTGCAACAGGATGTGAACTGAACACTTTGAAAAAGAAAGCAGCAAGTGTCTGCAGAACATGAAAGATTTTTCTACAGTCTTTCGGCTGAACATTTCAAGATTAATTCATGGCAGGCATGTTGAGTTGAGTTGGGCTGACAGCCAATGCTTCACGCCTGGTGATAGCCATGACTGGCATGCTACTAATTGTCCCTAGTGAACACATGCGTGTTGTATTTGACCAACTTCAATCAACAATACAGTGATCAATACAGTCAAGAAAGCTTTTGTGTTTGTGTGCCAGGAGTGACTTGAGAAACTGCAAGTTGCTTTAGGTGTGAGAGAATTGGCCATCTGCAAGGACGTTTCCCAGGGGGTGCACAGATGTTTTACCATCCTGTGAGAGGCTTCTCTCATGTCCCTACAAGGGAAGCTGGAGCTGACAAATGGAAGCTCACCCCACTCCCTGGATTTGAACCGGTGACCTTTCGGTCAGCAGTCCCGCTACCACAAGGGTTTCACCCATTGCATCACCAGAGGCTCCTTTATGAAAGCCTATGAACACAGGACAAGCGAACCAAATGTACAAACCACAGGCAGGGACATTCTCTATACTGCCACTTGTTGGTCATATAGTAGTCCAGATATACAGAAGGATTGTGGTGCTGGGAAGAGGGAGGGGAGACAGGTGACGTGTAGTGGGCACCTGAGAAGGGTTTTTTATGTACTCAAGGAAAAGGAGGCTGCAATAGTTGCAAAGGGAGCCTAGGCTCCATATCCAAACTGCAACTGTGTCCGTCCTGCTTGCAAAGAAAATGTTTCAGTTGATACAGTTTTCTCTTACTGTTTTTTCAGCTCCTCGGCATTATTTTTGCCTGCTGCCTCATGAAAGGAATTCGCAGTGGCTATGAGGTGATGTAGCCCCTGCTCTTCCTGTTACTGCAGTTACAAAACTCTGGAATATTTCTGTCTCGTCTTCTGGGGATGCAGCTGACCATCACATGCCAACGGATTGTATCCGGGTGCACATCTCCTCTTCTGTTGCCTTTCTTGAAAGTATATGGTGCCCTGAAAAGATTCACATGTTGCCTTATCTACCTATCTATCTACCCTTATTTCTCTCATGGGGAAGAGAGTCTATTTCCCACATTTCATCCCCCTTACCCTAGTGGGTAGCTTGTGATACATGACTGCTGTTATATATCAACAGACTTTTCTCCTAGCTGTGAATAGGCACACTTGAAGTTTTGCTTCTTCCAGATTCCTACTTCCCTAAAGATTTCCAGGCTGCAACTTTCCCCTGATAACACACTCATAGGAAGCATACACTCCTCTATCTTTAGGATGTTCCCTTTCCTCTGTGGAATCAAGCAGGGACTGCTGTTCTGGAGGCCATGATGAGATGGAAAATTGTGGAGTTTGATTTTTTTTTTTTAGCCAGTAAATCATTATTTTGGAAAATAAAAAACATGGTTTCTCCCAGATGTTCTGCCTCATTTGTGTTGTGTGCCATCCTGACTTACGCCATCGACATTATGGGTAATCTCTTACCCTACTTTTGACTGATGTGACTGTCACTCTTACCCTAAGCTGAGGGTGCTGAGTTGTCTTTATACAACATTGGGTAAGAGTTAGGACCAGCCAAATGAAAATAGCTCCCCCATTGCTCAGAAAATATCAAAAGTGGCTTGAAGTATTGTGCTGTGGTAAGGATGAGGAATGTATAACCTCTCAATGTTCTTGTTGACCATCTCCCGTCATCCTTCATTATAGGCTAGGGCAGATGAAAACTGAAACCACATATTTTCCTATCCTGAACTAACTAGGGGATAGGTGGGAACTAATAGTTCTGGCAACCTAACAGTTCGAAGACATGCCAATATAGGTAGATCAATAGGTACTGCTTTTACGGAAATGTAATGGCGCGCCATGCAGTCATGCTGGCCACTTGACCTTGGTGGTGTCTACGGACAACACCGGCTCTTCGGCTTAGAAATACAGATGAGCAGCACCACCCAGAGTCAGACACGACTAAATGTCAAGGGGAAACTTACCTTTACCATAACAGTTCTTCTTCCATTAAACTTATGCATGCAATTTTCTGATCCTTGTTATATATTTCCTTCATAGGAAGCAAAACTCACCTTGTATTTATTGTATTTTTCTGCCCTGCTTTCAGCCCTCAATTAGAGTTCATCCATGGTAACTGTTGGCGAAACACCTGATTGGATTTTTAAGACCATTGTTTATTTTATGTATATAATGTAATATAACAAATGGCATGCACCATGTGGTTTAAGTCATAGCTGCACAGTCAGTGGTGAAGGATGATGGAAGTTCTAGTACAGCAACATTTTGAAGAGTATTATCTATACTTGCACTATCAATACATGGGAGTAGCCTTCCTATTAATATTTCCCAACCTCTTCTGTAAATATTATCTCACTTATGCCAGCATATCGCTCCCCTGACCTTTAAGCTGGTGTACAGAACTGGGCTTGGTTCGGCTTGAGTGAATTATAGTGTGCATTGTATGTGGCAGGGAACTCACTGTGGTGAAGTTACAGGAAGTTTGTCCAGAACACAGTAAACTTGTGAACCAGATTTGCTCTCCCTTCCCCCTTTTTATGACCTGTGTTATTAAAAGCAATGCTAGAAGTTGCTACTTCCATAACATCATGTGACGATTTGCAGAGCCTTCCTTTCATGTGATCTGATGCTAAACACAGCAGTATATTTATGCTTGGATTGTGAATGCTTTTTAAGGCTTGGGCATGCTCATTTAGTGAAGTTTATGAATGGCTACACACATCACGTGGGTGATCTGGGTCCTAGCCAGCGTGGCTATTGGTCACACTATGATGTAGTTCAGTCACAGGGGGAAGACCTCTTGCTTGGCTGCGGCTGGAGTTTCTTCATACCTCTGGCCCACTATTACATTTCAGACAGGCACACTGGCTTGGCCCAGACTGGAACCTGCCTTCTTGTTTTTGGATCTCTGCAAGGCAGTTTCTGAGTATTGAGAGATATAGGCTCTGAATGGGCCCTAAGCTACTCATATCCAACTAGGGCAGTGGTTCTCAACCTGTGTGTCCCCAGATGTTTTGGCCTTCAGTTCCCAGAAATCCCAACAGCTGGTAAACGGGCTGGGATTACTGGGAGTTGCAAGCCAAAACACCTGGGGACCCCAAGTTGAGAACCACTGAACTAGGTTAAAAGTTAAATCTATATTTCCATGTTTTGTCCATATATTCAATTTTTTGTCTCCTTTCCTGCTTTCTTTATAAAATGCCCTAGCTCTGGAAAGCATACTGGAATTTCTGTGGTGAGATGATCAGAAAAGTTTCCTTGACACATCTTCCTATTCTTGGTATTTCCCTGCAGTGTATGAAAGGTGTTCAGTGTATTCATAACTGTTATGAATGCTACATTAGGAAAAAATATAGGATAATGATCATAATTGAAATAATTGTCATGAACTGCTCAGAGTCTGGCATCTTCCTACATGGTTGCAATGTGCTTTACAATCTGTTGTAATCTGCCTACCATTCAATATCCATCTGGTCTTGTGCATCTCTCCTGTTACTGGATATCCCATTCTTCTCTCCTGACTCCATTGCACATACTCATTCTTTTATCATTCTTATATTCATTGTTTTAAGACTCTGGTTATGGATAGAAGCCATTCTTCGAATTAATATTTGAGATCACTCCAAAAAGTAGCCTCGGGATCCTACTCTTCCCACTACTGGAATCCGAAAATATCCCAAAGAGATGCTTTGAATTACAGAATTGTGAATCCAGGAATTCATTTTGAGAACTGGAATTGAATCCTTCCACACAAATACAATTATGCTTACCTAAAGCTCCTTCTATTTCAGCAAATAATACAGGGATAAATTGAATTTTGGTCACTACTTTCTGGTCCTTGGTTCAGCAATTTAAAAGTCAGAAATTTTACAAACCTATAGCAAATCACCTTCTGTTCAACCCACTCTATTAAGATGTTCTGTATAGTATGGTGAGTTTTCAGTATCCAAGCCCACAATGACTTGTGAAAGATAGGGTGGCTGGGCAACACCTTACTTTCACAGATTATATATACACTTTATTTCTTTATCATTTTTGTAAAATGTGTTCTTTTTTGACCGTTGGCCACAGCTTTGGTCTTAGGTAGAGGAAGAGGCTTTGGAGTCTAGCGGGCCCTGTGTGCTGGCTTTGGTAGAACAGTGGCCAGAACAATGTCCACCATGAAAGCAGGCAGGTAAGAGACTGGCAGCCACATAAACTTGGCATCCCACCCAGCACTGTAGCGGGAGCGAGGGTGCTTAGCCTCCAGGGCATGTTCCATGCAGTTGGTCACTTTGCTGAGGTCTGGGTCACAGATGAGGTTCATGATGAACTTCTGGACCTTCAGGTCTATGGGAGAGAGAAGAAACTCATGTCATTCACAAAAGAAACGAAACACACTTTTTGTATCACCTACTATATTTCCCTCCACCCCTGCAGTACTTCAATATTGCTGCTATATTAATGGTGATCTTTCACTTTATTGTGAAGTATAATTGTACCCAGTCCTGTGCGTGCCTGCTATGCTTTTCCTCAGACCCAGAGCTAATCTAGAACCTGGAATAGAACCAAACCATTAGATGCTCCTTGGAACAGGGTGAGAATCCTGCAGTCTTTCAGATGCTGTTATATTCCTCTCAGCATTTGTTATGCTAACCAAGGACTGATGGGAGTTGTAGTTCAACAACATCTGGGAAGCTGCATGATTCCCATCCATGCTTTAACACTCTCATGTGTATAATCCCTTCTGGAGTTAAAATAATAGAGAGCCAATCTTTATTGACTGAACCAAATCACCTCTCTTCTCATGGACACGTTTCTGGAACAGGGATGGGCAGATGTTACTTGGTGTTGGGCTACATTTCAAGTCTACCTAATTGCTATACTGGCTAGGGCTGTAGATAAAAAAAATCACAAGGTTCCCAGTTGATAATATTTCTTAGAAAGGTTTCCTGGTGCCTTATAGATCTAAATAGTGTATCTATACCATGTAGATATAGAAGCACTTGGAAGGTTTATAAAGCACCACAAAACCAGCCAGGGCCTCCATTACTGAGTTGTTCAGCCTGTAGAAGTTTTGCTGGAACTTTTCATTATACATTCATCCATCCTTTTTTCACAATGGAGGCTTGAGTGCGGGGCAGTTATTTAGACCCCAGCAGAATATAGTGTCTGAAACCTGAGCAAAGCAACTACAGGGCAAACAAGGCCATTTAGAGAAAATCATAGGCGTACCTTATTTAACAAAGCCTCTGACAAAAAAGCTTCTTTTAATAAGATCTTGTTATGCCTGCCCAGCCCCATTTCCTTCTTTCTATGTCTACTAGAAGGTTTATACAGTAGCATTGGTTTTGGGAGTATGGCAAAGATGGGCTAGAGGAAGAAAGGTTTGCAATGTCTGTAGTAAATACTAAAATGTTTCAAATAGGAAAAGCGGGATTTTACTCCAGCCAATCCTACTGTAGCTATGTGTGCCTACCTAGAATGGGGAAGGTTCACAGCAGCTACCTCTAACATTTCTTACTGCACATAAATGAAATGCAACGGAGTAAAAACAAATAAACCAGGGTTACTAGACCTTCCCCAGGGTGTTAAAACACCAACACAGATCTGTAAATTGGACCATTAAAACAGAGTGATAAGAAAACTGGGGGTGCTTGAAAGAAAAAAATTGTCCCCAGAAGCATTCTGGAACAAGCTTTCAAATGGTCTCTAGAAGTTTGAAAATGCTTTTGTTGTCTTATGCAGAGTTGACTGAAACTGATTGTTTCATTTTGCATGGGCATATAGTTAGTTTTGGATAAAAAGTTTGCTGAAACTTATCTGTCTGCTTTCCTTTTTGGTGCTGGAACCTATCATTATTTACATGTTCTTTTCACCTCTTTTACCAAAACTATTGCTGAAGAAGTAATGCCCAGGAACACAGCAATTTTCTTAACAGAGGTGTACCTGAATGAGTGCTGTCGCTTAAAAAAACACACACACTTGAAGCTAAGTTGAAATTTACTAGAAGGCTTATAAAAATCTTTAAAAACCACTGGGTTTTGGATTAAGTTCTTGGAACTTCTTGTTTCTCTGTCCCACTTCATGGAGGCAGACTGGTAATAGCTCAGTTTTTCAAGAGCCAGGGCTATGTCTTTCCCTTTGATGCTCGCATCTGTGGCTGTCCTAGGACTCACAGTTTGGAAAGAAGTCTTCGCCATAGCTTTGCCGGGCCTCGGGGCTCATTCGATCCCAGATTTGACGCAAAGAGGACTCAACCGAATCGAGATTGGTCACAGCAGTCTTGAAAAAACCTGGCTCCACAATGGAGACTTTTACGCCAAAATGGTACATATCCCTCCTGAAATAAAAGGAGTTTCTGACACACTTTTGCCAAAATGTACAACAAATTCCATCTATTTGATATCTAGGAATCCTTTTACATAATCAGGTTTGAACACCAAAATGGCCCAGCTGCCAGTTTATTACATAAATGCTGCTTTCAGTTTGTGGTTATGCTCATTTTAAGTGCTGAAGGATGTTACAGCAAAACTGTAGCCTGAATCAAGTGATCTTCATATGTGTTTTGGTGAGGGAAATGGCAGTTTCAACGTCTGTTTTCACTGTGTAGGATCTCTGTCTAATGCATAAAAAGGCAGAACTGAACTTTTTGCCTTGCATTTCAGAGGCAGGAAACTCGCAGCCATTGAATTCTTGTGTATTGGGCAGTTATTAAAAGCACAGGCAAAAATAAAATATCTGCAAGACTATAGGCAGTAACCACAGAGAGGAAGACATGCTGCCCAAGGAGCTTCCTGTTGTTCCCTCAAGCTTGTTCAGAGATAAGGTCAATGGTGTAAATTAGTCACATAACATTTGTAAACTTTTTTCATTTTAACTCATCTTGTATCGCCATGAGAAATGGAAGACCAACATTCCCCCTTCCCTTCTCAAATTGGCACTTAAGAGAAATTTGGTGGGATTGTAGTACCTGAGCCTTAGAAAATGTATGGTTGAAGTCTGGTCCATTCTAGTATACCTTCACTGCAGGGGGTTAAACACTGAAAACCGTTCACACTTTTATATCCTGCATTCACACTGTAACATTGCCCACCCTTTTCTTTGGATACCTAAACTGGATTTCTAAATGGTGAGCTAAATTTCTCGAATGCTAGAAACTGGAAAATCTCACTAGGTGGTTGGATTTCTTATTTGAGTAGGCAAAGTCCCCCTCCACCTCTCCCATAGCTACATCCCTCTTAAGAAGCTTGGAATGATGCATTTTGGGACAAGCACCAAAATAATTTATAATTTCCATTTTGCTACATGGATTTTTTCCCCACATTGATTCAGTCCTCACAAAAAAAATTATTGTGAGGGCTAAATCAATAAATCTTGAGTGAAATAAAGGGATACTAGCAGTACTGTGGATGTGAAAGCTTCAACCTTTTATGAAATTCCAAGATAGGGTTGTTGTTGTTTTTTCTTTTTTGTCAGGAGCAACTGGAGAAACTGCAAGTTGCGTCTGGTGTGAGAGAACTGGCCATCTGCAAGGACTTTGCCCAGGTGACACCCAGATGTTTTACCATCCTTGTGGGAAGCTTCTCTTATGTCCCCGCATGGGGAGCTGGAGCTGACAGAGGGAGCTCAACCTGCTCTCCCTAGATTCAAACCACTGACCTGTCGGTTAGCAGTCCTGCCAGCACAAGCGTTTAACCCATTGTGCCACCAGGGGCTCCAGATAGGGTATGTATAACATGTGAGAAATATAATTTCTTAGAGGAAAATGACTACAGCAGGCCCTCCACATTCACTGGGATTTTGGCTAGAGGATTGTCATGAAAGTGGAAATAACACAAATTAAAAACCGCTATTTTCCCCCCCTGAGAGAACACCTCTCTAGGTCCTTTGGCACAATTTTCAGGTAAATTTCTGCTGGAAGTTAATCACAGAATCGTGCTGGAGGACCCAGAGATTCCTAGAGATAACAACAACAACAACAATAGGATTTAAAGATTGAACTGCAAAGACTCTGGCACAAGCCAGTCAAGGTGGTCCCAGTGGTGGTCGGCACACTGGGTGCAGTGCCTAAAGACCTTGGCCTGTGCTTAAACACAATCAGTACTGACAAAATTACCAGCTGCCAGCTGCAAAAGGCCACTTTACTGGGATCTGCATGCATTATTGGCCGATACATCTCACAGTCCTAGACACTTGGGAAGTGTCTGACGTGTGATCCAATTCAACAGCCAGCAGAGTGTCTGCTGTGGACTCATCTTGTTGTGTTTCAAATAATAATAATAATAATAATAATAATAATAATAATAATAATAATAATAGTGAAATCCTTCAAGTTATACTCATTGAAGTTTGCTTGAAAAATATAATTAAAATAGGGTCCACTGTAACAGTTTTAGTTCCCCATTCTTTCAGTTTCTGCCCCTCCATTCCTGAGCTTTCACGCATGTATTCTAAAGCTACGGGGGTCTCATTGATATTCAAGGAAACTTTTAAGTGTACATATGCAGGACTATAGTGCTAGAAACTTTTCTCCTCTTCCCCTCACCTTCCAAATCAGAAGGCAAAATTCAATATTTTTCCGCCAGTCGGGGAGTAGCTGAGCTAATCTATTTTTCTACCTCTGAGTTATGCCAAGAGCATGGGAAACAGGGTGGAAAAATAAAAGCAGGAGGAAACACATGGAAGAAGATCAGTTGATTATGCAAATAAAGGAAATGTTTAATGTTTGCCAAGAGCAGAAACAATGTAGAACCAGAGTAAGGAAGAAGACCAAGAAAAGAATGGAGCAAAATATGACTGGAGGAGCCATTTTTTTTCATGTCAGGAGCGACTTGAGAAACTACAAGTCACTTCTGGTTTGAGAGGAGAAAATTAAGACAGGTAAGTCTGGGGTGGCAAACCTACTGAGCACAAGTAAAGCCCTACCTGTTATCCTACCTGAGGCTGTCGGAGAAGGCCTCAACACAATATTTGGAAATACAGTAGCCACCACCGTTTGCTGAGAGGCGACCCAAGACACTGGAGGTATTGACCACACGGCCGCGAGCTTGCTTGAGCAGGGGCAAGAAAGCCAATGAGACCTCGATCATGCCAAAAGTGTTGACAGACATGACCTTACGGTAATCCTCCACAATCATCCATTCTGTAGGGCCAATAGGGTTGGCCACACCTGCGTTGTTAACTAGGCCAAATAACCCTGGAGGGATGGGAATTGATTATTGGGGAAAAGGGAGAAAAATAACAGATAAATCACCTTGCTTTCTTGAGCCCACTCCTTTCTTGTTGACCACTCCTTCCTCAGCTAAAGGGTTTTCTGGGATGCCAATAGACACATGGCTCTCACCCCACTCCAATCCATACCTGCCAATTGGGGTTGAAGAACATGCAGCTAAGAGATGGATAGAGAGTTTGTATTCTTATATCTCACACTGATAACACCTATTCAACGAGGACTGCAGATGTGGGAGAGAGATACCATATGTAGCTTCTGTATGCTGAATCAAGACAGTATGCTCAAGTCTTGCAAATTCAGGGCTATGACTTCCATGACTGAGTAAACATACCTGTAATACAATGGTTGGATGGAAAGTAATGCCTCCACCTTCGTAACTCCTCAACAGATGGCAGTACTGGTATGTGGCAGGTACTGGCTTGTTCAGTAGACTCTCCCTACAGTTCCATTTTGGCGGGAAGCCTTAGCATTGAACAGTTGTGTTGTTAAAGTGCGAAGTATGGAACCCTGTGCAGACAGTCAGTCAATGCAACTTAAGCAACGTGCAGTCATTGAATTCTTAAGAGCAGAAGGTGTCATCCCGAAGGAGATTCATCAGAGAATGCAAGCTGTTTATGGTGACTGTGTTGATGTGAGTACTGTGCGTTGCTGGGCGAGTAAGTTTAAAGATGTTGAGGTGACACCTTTTGCTGTCAAGAATTCAATGACTGCATGTTGCTTAAGTTTCATTGATTGATCATTTGTTCAGGGTTGAGGAGTTACGAAAGTAGAGGCATTACTTTTTATTCAGCCCTCGTACTATTCTCCTCTTCTTCCATTGTCACAAAGTTTACAAACTATTATTTCATTTTCAGTCAATCCCATGGGATGTCTACATTGTGAAAAATATTCTTTATGTAATTTATTGTGTACAGTAAAACTCCTGTATTGGCAAGGGATATCAAAAGGAGTATAGTGTCTAGATTGAAGGAAGTCTTGGTGCCTCTATTCCGCTTTGATTAGACCTCACCTGGAATACTGTGTCCAATTCTGGGCACCACAGTCCAAAAGAAAGATTGACAAGCTGGAAGGTGTCCAGAGGAGGGTGACTAAAACGATCAAAGGTCTGGAGACCAGGCCCTAAGAGGAGCATCTTAACTGGATATATTTACCCAGCAGGAGAGAAAGTTGAGAGGAGACGTGATAGCCATGTATAAATATGTGATTACAGCAAAGGAGATTCCACCTGAACACTAGGAAAAACTTTCTGAATGTAACAGCTATTCAGCGGTGGAACTCTCTGTCTTGGAGTGTGGTGGAAGCTCCTTCCTTGGAAGCTTTTAAATAGGCTGGATGACCATCTGTCAGGGATATTTTGATAGTGCTTTTCCTGCATGCCAGGGGGTTGGATTAGAGGCCCATGTGGTCTCTTCCAACTCTATTATTTCTTGCTGAAGTGTGATTACTTGAAACCACAGAAACAACTAAATATCCTCACTTTTGGTTCCAGCAGGCCATAGAGATGAAGTAGAAGGCTTAGAGAATGCATAGAGGTGCATATTCTCTGGGAATTTGCTAGGTCCTTCAGAGTGACTATGGTGACTTCCAAGGAAGCACACTATCAGGATCTAGCAAATACCTAGGGATATCATTTCCCTCCAGGTGTAGGTAAGCAAAGCTGCTGGTATGGATTCCACAGTTTCTGTATTTGTATTTGACATTGATTAATAGAAATCTAGAGCACTGGATTGAACCAGAGGATGGGTACCAAATTTAAATCCCCATCACAATCACAAGGTGATCTTATTTACACACAACCCTAACTCCAGCCTGTTTACTCCCTGATCGCTGCTGGGGCAAGACTCACCTTTTTCACCCACTTCACCTTTCACCCACTCAACTGCTTTGCGGATGCTCTCAGAGTTGGTGACATCGAGGAGGGTGGTCCGCAGGTTTGGTGAACTAGAACGCTGCAGGTTATCAGCCCCTTTCTGAGTCAAGCAACCTGCTAAGACTTGGAAGCCCTTCTTGTCAAGCCGCTTGGCCAACAGGTTCCCAAAGCCTGTGTCACAGCCTGTGATGAAAACATACTTATCCTTGAAGGAGCTCAACATCTGCCGGTCTCGGAAGAACCAGACCACAGTCCAGAGGACACTGAAAAGCAGCACGCAGCACCACATTGTAGAGTGTGACTGGATGCCTGCAGGAAGAGGAAAGATTGGCAAGGTAGGCCAGGAAATAAAGGGTGCCTGGCTTTGAGCTGGAACTCAATTTTATCTTCTCTAAAGCAAGAATGAGGTCAGTCTGTCTTAATCACAAATGCAAAGGCATGTTCTAATTGCAAGGTTTTACAATCTAGAACAGATTATTCCCAATCTGCTAGTATTTAAGCAATCACTTGTGTGCCTTTGCATACCATGAGATCTTTGAAACAGATATGGAAAATACATCAAGAAGAAAGCAAGTGATTTAATGGATAATGAGCTCAGGTAACCAAATGTAGGCAGGTCATTTGGAATTTGTGTGTGTGTGTAGATGTGACATTATCGATATATTTAGGATTTGAAAACAAGCTGCTGGCATGAAAGGCATAAGTCAGAGCGACACTATATGTGATGAAGGAAAAAGGAGTATTAATGCTTTGCTTCCATCATGATCCTAAAAGGAATTGGGAGGTTCTGTGACTATTGCAATGGGAGGAAAGCTATTATTGGTGCCATGAGAGCTTTGCTTCTAATCTGCATAGATTAGAGCAGTGTTTCTCAAACCATGTTCCTCCAGGTGTTTTGGACTCCAGCTCCCAGAAATCCCAGCCAGTTTACCAGCTGGGTTGTTGTAGGCTATATGGCCATGTTCTAGAGGCATTCTCTCCTGATGTTTTGCCTGCATCTATGGCAAGTGTAAAGATCCCTTACCTTTCCAGCCTGGATGGCAGGGCCTAGGAACAGCAGGCCAGTTAGTTGCAGCTTTGGTAGGCCTGGCAGAGGGCAGCAGTAGCCATTTTAGTTCAGGGAAAACACCATTTTAGAGAGGGGGAGTGTCCTAGGCCTGAGTTAGCATTAGAACAGCCAGGATTGGTTCAGAAAAGGGGGCGGAGTTTAGCAAGGTTTGGAGGGAAAGAAGGAGGCTTTTTCAGTCAGTCTGGTGTTGTTGGAGATTAGAGTAGGAAGGTAGTTTAGGAGTTCGGGTCTTAAGATTAGTTAAGAGAAGGCAGTTTGCCTTAGGCTTGCCAGCAAAAGATAGCTGGTTTTTGTAGTTAGCTAGGCCTCAGTTTAGGGTAGCTAAGCTACAGTTGTATCTTGACAGAGATTCAGTTCCTGTCAAGTGTACTTGGTTTTAAAGAGAAGAAAATCTCTGTTGTTGTAACAAAGAAAGAACAATTTTACATGTAACCATTACGCTTTGAAGCCAAGAATCAACATTTTCTCTGTAACCGCCAAGATTTCTAAACAGCACTTACTTTCTCTTGTATTTTTATCAATAAACTTTCCTTGATTATTTTGAAACTTAAAAAAGCCTGAGTCAAGTGTGCCTTTTTGTGGCTATAGTCCCTTTCTCAAACAATCTCAATTGTTTTCCTTTAAAGAAGCAAATAAGAAGACACAGTGCTTGGTGGTCTTAAAAGCCCTTTTTATTATTTAAACAGCTAGGGTGTTCCTGTACCTTTCAGTGTTGGTGGCAGCGGACGTTAATTAGAGAGACATCCCCTCATAACATTTATATTGGTGCCAGTGAATTCTTTATATTGGAGGGACAGTTGGTGGGATTTGTTTGCCCCCTGTCCAGCTATTGTTTGCCATAAAGGAGTCTTTATAATCCACATGGTCAAAGGCTTTAGAATAACCAATAAAAAACATCAGGAGAGAATGCCTCTAGAACCTGGCCGTATAGGCCAAAAAAACCAGCCATGAAAGCCTTTGACAAGTTTACCAGCTGTTGGGAATTATAGGACCTGAAGTTTATTTGTTTAGTTATTTATTTATCTTATTTATACCCCACCAGAGGGACTCAAGGCAGCTAATCTAGAGTTTGAGAAACTCTGGATCAGAGGGTGGATTAGATGGAGACATGGGAAAATCCCTAGAGCTTACATACATACATACACACACACACACACACACACATATAAACACAAATTAACCACATCCCTTTTGGTTCAGACGGCTAGTAATGGCAGGCCCCATCAAGTTGCTGAAATTCAAAGTGGACAAGCAGGTGGTAATAAAGCAGTAGCAAAGTAACATCATTTATTTCCGTGGAATCATATTGTTCTGCATTAAACCCCATAGGATACAAGAGACTGCTGATACTTGGGCAATGAAACAGGATGGGAAACATTGATGGTTCCCATCCCACCTGTTTTTCAGTTGGAACCATGGGAGTAAAGTGCGATAAGAGGTAGGAGCTCTGAACATGATTGCTGGCTCATGCTCAGAGTTCCCTCCTTTCAGGACATTTCTGCCTCTTTTCAACCCTGGAACATGTGATGAACTCTTTGCCTCTCCATGCTACAAAAGAGGTGGAAGCGTCCCATGAGGGGAAAATGTCTCAATGTGATGAGAGTTCCCTCCTTCTAGGCCACTTTGTCTCTTTTTCAACCGTGGATGGCTATGTGCGACAGCCAGAAATAATTCAACTCATGTGATGAGCCCAGTGCCTCTCCATGTTTGAATAGAGGCTGAAGTGTCCTATGGCTAAGAAATTTCTCAATGTGTTAAGGTGGTAAGATAACACTAGTCTAGGAATCTCTAGGTCCTCCAGCACAACTCTTTGGTCAATGTCCAGTGGATGTTGGCCATAGAATTGCACTGGAGGACCTAAAGATTCTTAGAGAAACCATATTAATCAATTACACAAATAATTAAATCTGCGAAAGTCAAATCCCACAATGGTGGAGGTCCAACTGTAATTCAATCATTATAGTCTTTAGTTATTCGTGAGAGAACTTGTGTGGTACGTTGATTAAATGATGGCTGAAAAAACCTAGGTTCAAATTCCTTCTCTCCGCTATGAACCTCATTTAGACTCAATAACTCTTCCCCACTTTATGTTCCTCACAAAATGGCTGTGAGGATAACATGAGGAGAGAGAGACTTATGTACCATCCTGAATAACTGGGAGGAAATGTGGGGGGTAAATGCAATAAATGCATCAAAACATGTATGCATTGCATTGACTGGCAGGCCCAGTTTACATCAGGCAGTGTGCCATAAAACACGGTTAACAGCCTTTAAACACAACTTAGGGGAAAGGAACAGAGTGTGTGTCACAAATGAGCTGCTGATTGGTATGGACCAACTGCCTATTCCCCATCAAGCATATGTATGCTTGTCCACAATGCCCTGCCTCATGCACAGAGGAAGAAGTGTTTACAGCTACAGACAATGTGGTCTCTGTTGCCTATTTTTGGTCAAAAATTATTTAACCGCTTGTGTCCCCTCTATTTTTATCAGTTTTATACTTATTTAAGCAATGCCTTTGATGCAAAATAAAAATGCCATCAAGTTACTTTGCTAAATGAAATTAACTCAACTATACCTTACAAATGGCTTAAGCACGATAGCGTAGCGGTATAATGACTGAAGCCTTTTACTATGACTGGAGACCAGGTTGGAATCCCTGCACAGCCATGGAAACCCATTGGGCGACCTTGGGCAAGACACACTCTCCCAGCCTTAGAGGGAGGCAGATCTCGCCAAGAAAACCCCATGATAGAATCATCTTAGGGTTGCCATAAATTGGAAAGGACTTGAAGGCACACAGCAATGTTTTCACACAGCCCCCATGACACAGAGTACAACTTGGGCCTTGAATCCTTAACTGGTGTGGTTAAAAGTAATAGCAGTAACAGTACTAATGTGTTCTCTCACTCTTCAGCACTTGTTAATGGGCAAAGAGGACACCCCAGGGATCCCAAACCATGGTCCTCTGAGTATTTAAACTTCGATTCACAAAAGCTCCAGCCAGTTTAGCTAATGGCCTGGAATTTTTAGAGGTGAAGTCCAAAACATCTGGAAGATCAAAGTTTGGGAACCTCTGGTCTAATCTGTGTTAGCAGTGTTCTCAACAAAAATAACTGCTATGTTTACTTAATGCAAAAATAGCTTGTGGTTCATCTCACCCCTCCACGGGTGAAAACCAAAATGGAGCGTACAATTATTGACTCCTTAGCGAACTCTCGTGGAGGTTTGAGATAATGAAGTAAAACATGTGCTCCCTGGGAATTTCCATTTCACAAGATGTTATGTTCAGCCTCAGCCCCAAACTGACCCACCATCTCATGTGGCACTCATTTGACATGTGCCAAGTGAGCTTTATGGGGCTATTGTGGCTTATTACGTCCAACTCAATGCCTGGGAAATTGATGCTCAGCTTTCTCTCACATGAATGCTTAGCCTCTTCTGTTCAGACTCTGTGGTTTAAGTATTAGAGGATTAGCCGCCAGTCCAGAATTCCAGGATCAGGCAAGGTTTCATAACCCAGTTTTGTAACTGGACAAATGGAGGGACAATATACATTACAAAACAATTGGAATTCATTTATATCTTGTTTGCTCAGATAAGTGATGGAAACTTGGAATGGTATTTCATCCTGAAATATAGCCTGAATTGAGGCCTAAATGTTCTGATCAGCAGAACATTTCTTTGGCCCATCATCATCCTAGTTTTCATATATGAATTTTAATATATGCATATTCATGCATGCACTATTACCATAAGTAATAGGGACCCCTGGTGGCGTAGTGGGTTAAACTGCTGAACTGCTGAACTTGCTGACTGAAAGGTTGGTGGTTCAAATCTGGGGAGTGGGGTAAGCTCCCAATGTTAGCCCCGGCTTTTACCAACCTAGCAATTCAAAAACATGCAAATGTGAGTAAATCAATGGGTACCATTGGAGGTGTCTATGGACAATGTTGGCTAGAAAGAGATTAGTACCACCCCCCCAGACTCGGACACAACTAGACTTACCTTTACCTAGAAATACCTTCGTTCCTGTCAGCTGGACTACTGTTCCTGGTTGATACACTATGCTGTATGTTCTAGGTGAACTAATTTCGGTGTCTCTTTCTCCTCCTTCAGATTTATTTATTTTATTTATTTATTTACTTTGCTTATATACCGCTGTATCTCAAGCCCAAAGGCGACTCACGGCGGTTCACAAACAGTAAAAACAGTAGAAACAGCAGTGGTTCCATACAACATATAACAATTGACTTAACACATTATCCATAAATTACCAATAAGCAATTACAATGCACAATTATTACAAAAAACAACCGTACCCAATCTTCTCATCATCCAAGCGTAGTCCAGGTTCGTCGTCCATTGTTCCATTCCTATGTTCCATTACCAGATTGCACTAAATTACTCAAGCGCCTGCACAAACATCCAGGTCTTCACCTTTTTGCGGAATACCATTAGAGATGGTGCTAGTCTAATGTCCGTAGGAAGGGCGTTCCACAGCCGAGGAGCCACCACCGAGAAGGCCCTATCTCTCGTCCCCGCCAGCCGAGCTTGAGAAGCAGGCGGGATCGAGAGCAGGGTCTCCCCGGAAGATCTCAAACTCCTGGTGGGTTCATAGGCAGAGATGCGGTCAGATAGGTAGCTTGGGCCGGAACCGTTTAGGGCTTTAAAGGCCAACGCCAGCACTTTGAATTCAGCCCGGTAGCAGATCGGTAGCCAGTGGAGTTGGCGCAACAGGGGGGATATGGTTTCCTTTCCACCTTTACCAGTTAGTCATACAACTGTTGGAAATTCTTTTCAAGCCTTCTTTCCCTCTCTGAATTTGATCAAACAGAGGTTGCAAATCTAAAATACATGAAGTAGAAGGTGGGTCAATGAAATAGTAATACTCCTTAGTGGTCAAATGGACTGTACTACTCTACACTGCAGACCTAAGATCATATTTAGAAAGCACACCCATGTTTTTAAAATCAACTTCAAGGTCAGTTGAGAACCATTTCTTCTGAGTAGCCAATTATTTACTAGCAATTAATATTGAACAGGGCTAAGAATTAGGCAGCCCTCCAAATGTTGACCTGCAATTCATAAGCAGCATAGCCAGCACTGGAGAATACTGGGAGTTGCAGTCCGACAACCTCTAAAAGGATGCAGCACTCCCCTCCTGTTATAGGTGAATTCACAGTTTGAATTCCGTCTGTAGCCTATAACTCTACCACTTTGGGATTTTATCACCACCTTTCCCTTGCATGTGTATAACTGGTCAAATATTATCTTTTTCTCCTGGGGAAATTTTGCCGTGAATTTTGATGATGATCTGCACACACATATGTATATAGAGTTCTTCTCTCTATATATTTTTTATTTGTGGTCTAACACAATTCTGAAGAAGGGCAACTGTACAGTCAGAGGAGGCTCTTGGTCATGAATGCATATACTATAAGCAGGCATGAGGAAACTTCGGCCCTCCAGATGTTTTAAACTTCAACTCCCACAATTCCTAACAGCCGGTAGGAATTGTGGTAGTTGAAGTCCAAAACATCTGGAGGGCCGAAGTTTGCCCATGCCTGCTATAATGTATCTGTTAGCTTTTCAGATGTCAGAGAATTCTGTTGCTTTCCCTGCAATGGACTATCATGCACTTACATTAATCATATTTGCAATTGTCGGCTGGACTCATACCTCATTGATATCTTTGTGCAAAAATGAGGGCTTTGATGGAAGATAATGATTGTTCATTTATTTGAAAGAGACCAGCTCTGGTCACAACATGACCTGCTATGGAGTATCACTTAGTTTCGGATTTATAACGACCCTTTCACAGGAGTTGCTTAGCAAGATTTGTTCAGAGAAGGGTCACTTTTGCCTTCCTGTGAGACTGACTTGCTCAAGAAAACTTAGTCGGTTTGCATGTCCAAGTAGGGATTTGAACCCGAGTTTCTTGGAGTCCTGCTCCAGTTCTCATACCATAACACCACTCTGGCTCCTGGCTTATGGTGCAAGGACATAGAAACTTTAAGTCATTATTTATTTTCTTGGTATCTAGTTTGAAATATTATACAGGCAGTCCCCAAGTTATGTACAAGATATATGCTGTAGGTTTGTTCCTCAGCTGAATTTGTATGTAAGTCAGAACAGAAACATAATCTAAGTATAACTCTAGGCAAAAGTGTATATTTTTATGCTTTGGATAGCATGGGGAAGGGTTAAACCCCACCTGTGGTGTTTGTTTTGCTGTCTGTGCACCTGTTCAGATTTCACCTCACTTTCTAACCCTGTGACCATTGGATTTTGAAAAAAATGACTTGTAGAAACAAGGATTGTTGATAAGCTGGTGGAGACACCTTTTCTCCATGATAATAACTCTTTCAGGAGTGAATTTCCCTTTGAAAAGATAGATTTTTCTCACTCTCTGTTGTCTCACCCTTGTTCTTAACTGTGAGTCATTTGTAAGTCAGATGTTTGTAATTCGGGGACTGCCTGTACAAGTAAGGAACTGATAACAGAGGAAGGAACTGGCCAAACCACCTCTGAGTATTCCTTGCCTAAGAAAACCCTATGAAACTCATGAGGTTGCTAAATGTTGACAAGCAATTTAAAGGCACATACAACACACACACACACACAACTAACAGCATGTGATTTCTCAAAGAGGTTTTTCAGAGGTTCTTCAACTATTGCCCTGAAATCTGACTCCATGATGAACCAAGATGCCAGTGTCTCTTCACCCCAAAGCAACTGTGAAGTTCTTCTAATCTGAGATGTCAAATGATGTCAATCTAGTGCGCAGGATGGTTAGGTTAAAGAAACATAGTATTCCAGATGCCAAGCCTTTTTTAAAAGGAAAGCCCCAAGCCTATAATAAACCTATATACCCCTTTTCACAACTGGATTTGTGGAATCCACAGCTCACATCTTGTAAATCCAAGATGCTGGCTCTCCGAAGCAGTTTCAAGGCAGGAAGAACATTTTAGAAGCACCAGTCTTGACTATTGTTTTCATCGTGCTTCGTGCACCTTCAAGTCATTTCCGACTTATGATGACCCTAAAGTGAACCAAGGGTTGAGAGTGTGTGATTTGTCCAAGGTCACCTAATGGGTTTTCATGGCCAAGTGGGGAACTGAAAGCTGGTCTTTAAAGTCATAGTCAATTGCTTCCAAATCAGTCCCCAAGAATTTTTTTCATGTCAGGAGCAACTTGAGAAACTGCAAGTCGCTTATGGTGTAAGAGAATTGGCCGACTGCAAGGACGTTACACAGGAGGGCGCCTGGACATTTTACCGTCCTGTGGGAGGCTTCTCTCATGTTGCCACATGAGAAGCTGGAGTTGACAGACAGGAGCTCGCCCTGCTCTCCAGATTCAAACCACCGACCTTTCAATCAGCAGTCCTGCTAACCCATTGCGCTACTGGGGGCTCCTAAAGAGAAAATTAGCTGCACTTACAGGGGCTGCAAAACTGCAGAATATAAATAGTGTTCTGTAGTGGTTTAACAGCTTGAGTGCTGACCTATGAGTCTGAAGGTCTGGGTTTGTATCCCTGCTCAGCCATGGAAACCCACTTTCTCAGCCTTAAAGAACTCAAGGACAAACCTCTGAATAAATCTTGCCATGAAAAACCCACGACGAATTCAGCTTAGAGATGACATATGAAGGGTGTGCTTTTTAATTGTCCAGGACTGGTCATGGTGCAATGCCATTCTTTTCTCTCATCCCATATGCCCCTCTTACCTTCTCGCCAGATGAGAGTGCTGACAGGTTTAGCGAAACTGGAAGCAACAGCTATGCACAGCGTTGGCTAGGACGCTTTCCCCTGTTTGGCTTCAGTTGCACAAGGCAGCAAAGAAAAGTTCTGATCTTAGTCAAAGTCCATGGAGGGGGAGAGGCCAGAGCTCTTCCCAATCAGCTCCCTGTCAAAGGACGCCTATGGGCAGGGACCGAGTCCAGCATTTAGTCTTAGTAAAACTACAAGGAAAGTTAACCAATTGGCTGCCACTCAAATTGAATATCTCTGGAACCTGGAAAACACTGGAATTGGGGAAGCAGAAAATCCCAAAGGGTTGGGCTGTGCTAGGACAAAAGACAAAGGCTCCCGTCTCCTTGAACCTTGCCCCAGACTGTAAGTGGGACCTGCTGCCAAACCATTCAATCAGAAAACAATGGGAAGTTTGCAGCTCTGCTAATATCACATCCTTCTTTTAAGGAAATCAGAGCAACTGATATGAGTTTGCCTTCTAAGGGATAATTATTATAACAACCCGTTTTTGTTATTGCTGGCATTATGTTGCCTTGAAGTCATGCCTGTTATGGTGACCACAGGGTTGTTGTTGTTTTGCCAAGATTTACTCAGAGGAGGTCTGCCTTTACCCTTCTTTGACTGTAACTTACAGCAGTGGTTCTCAACCTGTGGGTCCCCAGATGTTTTGGCCTTCTACTCCCAGAAATCCTAACAGCTGGTAAACTGGTTGAGATTTCTGGGAGTTGTAAGCCAAAACACTTGGGGACCCACAGGTTGAGAACCACTGACTTACAGCATTTAGTATTCTCTGGTGGAATCCTATTCAAGTGCTCACCCACTTTGACACAATTCGGTTTAAGAGATTATTATGGAGATCTGGTGCCTTCAGGGTATTTTGGCTGTACCTGGCTGTCAAACAGCCTCTCAATGTATTTGTACATCACACCCCTCTGGGGTCATATTCTGATAAAAATGCTATTTTCACTGCAGTTTAGTTTGAACCTCTTTACACTGGAAGTCATTTTTTGGCCTTTCAACAAATCACTGAATGCAAGGAAGAATTATCAGAAAATTTAACCTCTAATTAGTAAAAATCCTTTAGAAATATGAAAAACGTGGCACCTTTTTGTAGAAACAATGTTTTTAAATTTTATTCACCTATTCTTTTATTTATCTGGTCACTTATTTCACCAACAAGGAAACATTATCCTGTAATTCTCTCAATGAGGAATTCAGGAACTCTAGAAAAGGAAAGTTCTGAGAGTGCCTTGGACTGCGAGAAGATCCAACCAGTCCCTCCTCCAGGAAATAAAGCCCGACTGCTCACTGGAGGGAAGGATACTAGAGACAAAGTTGAAGTACTTTGGCCACATCATGAGGAGACAGGAAAGCCTAGAGAAGACAATTATGCTGGGGAAAGTGGAAGGCAAAAGGAAGAGGGGCCGACCAAGGGCAAGATGGATGGATGGCATCCTTGAAGTGACTGGACTGACCTGGAGGGAGCTGGGGGTGGTAACGGCCGACAGGGAGCTCTGGCGTGGGCTGGTCCATGAGGTCACGAAGAGTCGGAGACGACTGAACGAATGAACAACAACAACAACAAAGAAAAGGAAATCTTAACACCTCTTGGTAATAAGCAGGATTCTTTCAGAGCAACTTGCTATTCCTGTTCTCCACAACCTGATCTGGGGGCAGTTGTAACTGTGTTACACAGAAAAGTTTCAAACCATCTCTTTGTTTCCATTAAACCTATTTTGTACGTAGACATTTATAATAATCATACTTAAAAATAAATGGCTCTTACACAGGCCCGTAGCCAGGATTTTGATTCGGGGGGAGCTGAGTTTGATTCGGGGGGGGCGGGGGGGCTGAGTCTGAGTGTTACCCATGCATATGGGATATATTGAGCATGGTGATCAGATCATGATATGAATAAACATAACAGTACTTTGGCCACATCATGAGAAGAAAGGAAAGAAAGCTTAGGTAAAGGTAAAGGTAGTCCCCTGACATTAAGTCCAGTAATGTCTGACTCTGGGGTGTGGTGCTCATCTCCATTTCTAAGCCGAAGAGCCAGCGTTGTCCGTAGACACCTCCAAGGTCATGTGGCCGGCATGACTGCAAGGAGCGCCGTTACCTTCCCGCCGGAGCGGTACCTATTGATCTACTCACATTTGCATGTTTTCGAACTGCTAGGTTGGCAGAAGCTAGGGCTGACAGCGGAAGCTCACGCCGCTCCCCAGAATCGAACCTGTGACCTTTCGATCAACAAGCTCAGCAGCTCAGTGCTTTAACCCACTGCCCCACCGGGGGCTCCTCAGAAAGCTTAGAGAATACAATGATGCTGGGGAAAATGGAAGGAAAAAGGAAGAGGGGCTGACCAAGGGCAAGATGGATGGATGGTATCCTTGAAGTGACTGGATTGACCTTGAAGGGAACTGTGGGTGGCCACGGCCGACAGGGAGCTCTGGCGTGGGCTGGTCCATGGGGTCATGAAGAGTCAAAAGTGACTGAATGAATAAACCACAACAACAGTTTAAATATGGAATCCCATAGAACGCATCACATGATGCAAAACTACTTCTGGCTGTTTCCTGTGGGACTCCATCTTTAAAACGTGTTTAAAAAGCAGTGGTTCTCAACCTGTGGGTCTCTAGATATTTTGGGCTTCAACTCCCAGAAATCCTAACAGCTGGTAAACTGGCTGTGATTTCTGGGAATTGTGGGCCAAAAGCCCTGAGGACCCACAGGTTGAGAAGCACTGGTTCAAAGTGTGTAAAAACAGAGTTGGGTAGCAATAGTCTTCAGAGCTCCCGATTTGTGCAGAAGCGGGTAAGGCATTTACTTTCACGTGAGATGGGAACTGTCGGATTCTGCTATGTTAGCTCACTTTAGTGATGTTGAAGATTGGGCATTTCTGTGGGTGGTCTCAAAACGAGCCTCGATGCCCCTTTTCTAGCCAGTAATCCTCTTGCATAAAACTTTTACGGTAATTAAAAAATAGTCTGCAGGAATTGCACAATTTTGAGGTATTGCCACTTTGCTAGGGCAATATTTCCCCCTTTTAGACCTAGTTTTTGAACTTCCACAATTGTGAAGTTTACTTTTAAAAAGAAAAAAAGAATGTGGAATGGGTGGGGACAGAACTCACCAGTGTGATGACTCAGAAGGCAGAGGATTACAGTAGAAATGGACAGAAGTACATTGCATGTGATGGGCTTGAATATATTATCCATTTTCCTTATAAACGGAACAGAATGAAATGCTCTGGTAAGAAGACAATTCCCTTTGCAACCCCCTCCCTTCCACCCAATGGGATGAGAGCATTAAGATGAACCTATCATGGGTTTCCTTGGCCTTCTTTGTTCAGAGTGACTTGCCTTCTTCGTAGACTTTGGGTGTACCTACATTACAGAATTAATGCAATCTGACCGCACTTTAACAGCCATGGTTCGGTGTTATGGAATTGTGGGAGTTGTAATCTGATGGGGCACCGGCCTGCTATGGCAGAGAAGGCCAAGACCTTTGAAAACTACAACTCCCAGGATTCCACAAAATTTAACTATGGCAGTGAAAGGGGCTTCAAATTGCATTAATTCTACAGTATAGATGCACCCTGGAAGAATATGTTTTGCCCAGGGTCACCCAGTTTTCCAAGACTCAGTGGAAATTTAATTGCTGTCAACCACCACTCAAACCACTATTCCATGCCACTATATCATTGCTTTTTAGTAACACTGTGTGTATGGCATAGGTATGGGGAAACCAGACCTTAAACCAGAAAAATAGCCTCTTTGTTATTTTGCAAAACTCATCACAAGATTCAAAATAAGAAGTCAGAACAGTCAATCTTTCTATGAACAGAGAAGAGAGAATGAACTGAATTGGCCTTCGAGAATCAAGAATCCAGTTCCTTCCTCTGGAATTCTTATAGCATTAAATGTTGTCACAGCATTGTAGGCCTACTTATTATGCAAGTTCCTTGAACATGTTCTCAGTTATACATGAAGATGTGTTGTCGAAGGATTTCATGTCTGGAATCATTAGGTTGCTGGGAGTTTTCCCGGATGTATGGCCATGTTCCAGAAGCATTCTCTCCTGACATTTTGCCCTCATCTATGGCAGGCATCCTCAGAGGTTRTGAGGTCTGTTGGAAACTAGGCAAGTGAGGTTTATATATCTGTGGAATGTGAAAATGAACAAAATCTGGCTACCAGTATTTAAAATATCTYTAAAATCAGGACAGTAAATAAAGAGCAGCACTAAAAAACAGGGGAATTTCTTACATGAAACAATCAGGGCCAGCTACMACCTCCCAACAAAGGATTCCCCCTGGCAGGAAGCAACCAGGCTTTGAAGCTGCAARGCCATTCAATGCTAATCAAGGTGGCCACTTGCCCCAAAYAGRCAAGAGTTCTTTCTCCCACCCTGGACATTCCACAGATATATAAACCTCACTTGCYCAGTTTCCAACAGACCTCACAACCTCTGAGGATGCCTGCCATAGATGTGGGCRRAAYKTCAGGAGAKAATGCTTCTGGAACATGGCCATACAGCCCAGAAAACTCACAGCAACCCTATACATGAAAGSTTTTGAATACCACAAAATCACGTTGGAGAATCTAGTTATGTCTAAAGAAGCGTTCTCTATAGKATCCCAGCATGATTTTATAAACATCTGTCAAAGGTTGTGCTGGGAGCTGGCCACAGAATTACACTGGAGACCTAGGGAGAACACTTCTCTAGACATYACTAGKTCCTTTGGGGCAATTGTGCTATGTTTGGCCAGAAGCCCAAGACATTGCTCATTTCAGGAAGTAGGGTTCCAGATTATACAAGAAAATCATATAATCTGAGTCCTTGTGTAATATGCGGATTTGCATTGCATAGTTTAAAGGCTACAAACTAAATCAGATGTGCATCAAATTCCCTGTGTTTATCCATCCCATTTCACATTAAGCTGCGCACTTTGTTGGGAGCAGTGGAATGAGAGTAAGAGTATTTGCACTACGGCATAAGTGTGGAAGTGCATCCAACTTCAGCATGCCGTTCTTGCCCTGAAAACTTGTCCTAATACACTTGAGAAGGTGACTTTAAAGTCTGGATCTCCATAGCTGGGAATGTCATGCTCCTTGGGAAGTCGAACTAGACAATAATATGTAACCCTTCTTCTATTAAATAGGATGGAGCTTCTTCCTGATTTTGACAAACAGCCAGCTGTTGAAACCAAAAACTAGAAGGTCTCATAATGGGGAAGAAGTGGTAGGGCCATGGAGAGCCTAGAGAGCTGGGATACCATTGCTAAATCGTGACTCCTAGTCTTGTGATCTTCAGTAGTGTTGCTTATAAGGAATGTAATGAAAAGGCATTATTGATGCAAGAGTTCTCCATTCCTCTAGCTAGGAAGCAGATGGCAAGTAGTAGCTGTGCACAGAGGGAAGGGGAGGCTGGAAACCTGCCAGCTAAAACCTTTTTTAAGAGGGTGGCCAGGCTAAACATTAAGCAACACATTTGGCCAAAACATAGGAGAAGCATGGGACAAGGGAGCATCCTTGAGCAAGGACTCTTCCTTGGCCACTTTTGGATTATCCTGTCTTCTATGTAATGAGACTGGCAAAAAGTGTGGGTGATGATTTTTTATGGGTGAGGACTGACCCCACTCCCTCCTTCCATGCCACCCCATTTATAAAGCGTGTTCTGCATGTTGAATCACAGTAGATTAGAACAAACCAGCCAGAGAAGGGTTCCTTTGTTAAGGTTTCAAAAGGACCTCAGAGAAGGATTTAAGAACTAAAGAGGATGAGGAGGCCACTCTGGGAGAGGTAATGGGCAGCAGGCCAACCCCACGCTGAAGTACTCCATCTCCATGGGGTTGCCTTGTTTGGACGTGGCAAACAGGAATGGCATCCTTCCTTGTTCTATTCAGAATGGCTCTGGGGGCTCCATTTAGTGACTCACACAACACTTGCACAGTGTGTTCAAACCGTCTTTTTTTATTCAATTGTTTCCAACTTTACAGCAAAGATCAATACAAACCCCTCATCTTTCAGTGCAATGTGAATACTGTTTTCGCCTCACTCCATCCAGCTCTTGTTTTTGTTTCCCCAGAAACAAGACATTGCCTCACTTGCGCAGAAGAAAAACAACCACATCCCCGACAGCAGCTGAGGCAGGAGAGGAGGGAACTTTTTCCCTACGCTAAAACGCAGCCACAGAACGTAGCAATAGCTTGCAGATGAACAGCTTGCCACTTTACTGCTATTGGCTATCAAAAGAGAATGGGAGAAGGAATCCAAGCTCTGCAGGTGCCAAGGACTGACAGGCAAGTGTCCATTCAAGAGGTGGAAGGCTGCAGCTGCCCCTTGTAAACATACTCCAGTGCGGTGGCAATGGTCCGCATATCCATCTCTATGCTACGAGCCCAGTTTTCCACATCACCAATTTCCTGCCAAGAGAGAAGAAATCACAATCAAAATTCTGTCCTCTTATGTTTTTCAGCATACACCCACATGCTCACCTTCCTCCTAGAGACTCAATTTGGATTGAATATACTTTTGTGGCTTTTGAATGAATTGAGATGAATTCCACAATTGCTCCTCTATTCACCCTAACTTTAATTAAGTCTTTGGTATAACTTCTTTGCATACATTACAACATTTTTTCACATTTACCTTCATCTCTTTGCTGTCTCCTACACAACTTGAATTTAGATTGCAGACTTACTGGGGCAGAGAAATATCTATTTTCCTTGGGTTTCTCTGTTAAAATGCCATGTTCACTGAGAATAATGAAGACATGTATGCAATTTACCCATGACTACAACTGCAATTCCACTTTAATAGGTCAAACTGTAACCAGGGTATATGATATGAGCAATACACACTGGTAGGATCAGTCATGACTATTTTTTATAATACTGTCAAACAAAGAAAGGCTTTGTTTGAGAACTCCATGATTTGAAAACACAGTAAGCCCATAAATATTATATCCATTTGACTGGCCTTTTTTGGAGTCTAGATAAGATATTACCAAATCTATCCCATGACTATAACAGTAAATTGTGCAAGCAAATTTTCAATTCTTTCTTGCCAAATTAATATCTGTGTCCAGCAGGTGGTGCTGTCCACCTCGTGACTATCAGAACTATCTGTTGCTCTTTTTCATGTCAGGAGGGACTTGAGAAACTGCAAGTTGCTTCTGGTGTGAGAGGATTGGCCATCTGCAAGGACGTTGCCCAGTAGACTGGTGACACCCAGATGTTTTACCATCCTGTGGGAGGCTTCTCTCATATCCCCACATGGGAAGCTGGAGCTGACAGACAGGAGCTCACTTCGCTCCCTGGATTCAAACCACTGACCTTTTGGTCAGCAGTCCCGCCAGCACAAGGGTTTAACCCACTGCACTACCGGGGGCTCCATCTGTTGCTCTGAAGCAGCAAACAAAGTTCTAATGTGACTGGAACCATCTCAATAGGCAATCTATATTGTTTTTGATAGTGGATTTCTTCTAAATTGCTCCAAATAGAAGCATGCAGGTTCTAACTTTTTCTAGACCGCTCAACATCCACTCCATTACTTCATCCAGGGTTACTTTCCCACTCTTATGACTTCATGGTCAACTCTGTACTGCCTTTTCATCTGTGGCCCTCATCAGCTACCTGCTGTGGCAACTTTAACTCGTTCCCTGTGCCATGCTCAACCCACCATCACAATGGAGATCAAGCCAAAAGGATCTAACTTGTTTTCTGTGGCTCTACACCATGCTTGCACAACCTATGGCCCTCCAGATGTTTTGGACTTCAGCTCCCAGAATTCCTGACCACTGGACAAGCTGGCTAGGGCTTCTGGGAGTTAGGGAGTCCCATACACCAGAAGGGCCACAGATGGCGCAGTCCTGCTCTAAAGATTAGGACAAGGGGGACTGGATTGAAATTGCAGGAAAAGAGATTCCACCTAAACACTAGGACGTTCGTGATGGTAAGAGCTGTTTGGCAGTGGAATATGCTGCCTCCTTGGAGTCTGGTGGAATCTCCTTCTCTGGAGGTTTTTAAGCCGAAGCTACATGGCAGTCTGTAAAGTGTGTTTTGATTGGATTTTCCTACATGGCAGGGGTGGGATTGGATGGTCCTTGGGGTCCCTTCCAAATCTATGATTATATATCCCAGTTGAGTGACAAGTCTACACAGCAAGAGGCGAGGGATGAGAGGAATGCATAGGTAAGCCTATGAAGGAAGAACACTGGCCTCTTATGGGGAACTGCAATAGCAATAAATATTAGCAGCTGATATCCAAGACAGAATGTGTCAGACTCTGGAAGATCTTGGAGTTAAAATCAAGTTCACAACAATAAAACGCTGGAGTCAAGGTTTATTCCTTCTTTCCACAATCCTAAAAAGACAGTTCTAAAGTTTTCCCATTCAAACCTTCTGTATATATCAGCCACAACTCAAATCCGCCCCCTAATGGCCAAACACTGTGCCCACAGTCTGTTAACTGCAGTTTCAATTTCCCTCATAAAACAAATGTCTTATTTACACTACCTTCTCCAACTGTACCCAGTCCGCCCCCCCCCTTCCCTTCTTTATGGCAGAGAAGTGAAGCAGCCAGTCCTAAGCTGATATGATGATCCTGACAGAAAGTGCACCTCTGGACAGCCTGAATATAGCCAAGTGGATATGAGTAGAAGGTGGTGCCATGCTGCAAGAATTGAAGGGGATACAAAGAACTCTTATGCCCCAGACTTTCTCTCACTACTTCATTGCCCCTGTTTTGCCAGGCATGGAAGCTCTCCGGGAAAGCAAGTGACTTTAACTGGTATTTGCAAATTATAAAAGACCCTTATGTTCTTTGCAATGATTCATCAAAAAGGGGCAACTACAAAAGGACATAAATTGTTAACCCTTTTCCGATTTTAGTTCACAGGATAGTTTTTGAGATAGACACAGATCCAGAACACTAGCAGCAGAAAGCAGTGTTCAAATGAATAGGTGACAGGAAAAGGATTAATCATGCCTTATCTTTTCCAATGCAAGTTCTTGCTTCCTGAGAGCAACGTGTGAGGAAAAAGTGGCAAACATACCTTTGTTAGACACAGCTGTAAAACAATGTAAAATCCACTTCTTAAGTAGAAAAAAATCCCAGGAATACTTATGTAATGCAAACTTAGATGCTGCTTGAAATGGGGAAACATCTCCTGTTTATGCAGTTACAAGGCTCCTGTACTCAACACAGTGAACCAGCATAAACTTTTTGTTACAAGCACAAGACGACTGATTACTTTGTTTTCACATATGTTGTGACTTGTTTTTTTTTTTTTTGTAGAGATGTGAATATTGTCAGGGCTTATGCCTTCTTGAAAATTATACACTCCAGTCAAACAAAGTATCGCCCTCCTGATGTTGGAGGACTATAACTCTCCGCACGTCTTACTATTGGCCGTGTTGGCTAGGGCTGATGAGAGTTGCAGTCCACTAACAACGGAAGGGTTGGACCTTGCCCACCCATTTTAGGGATAAACTCAGGATCACGCATAGTTCTATCCTTGTCAATACTCTATTATAGTCCCTGAACCCAAGCCCTTTCCTTTGGATAAACTTGTCCTCTCTCCTTGAACCTAATCTTGTCCTTTCATACTGAGATGGAGTTAAACTTGTCTGGAATTTGGGCATTCTTCATTCATGTAGCCATCCCACTAACCTTCAAAGCCTGGTTGAAGTTTTCCACCATGCTGATCCACTGGCCTGTCTGCTTGGCAAACTGAGCCGCCTGGATCTGCAGAGTCTTCACTTCATGGTCAAGCTTCCTTTGGTTTACATAGGCCTGTGCAACCCTAAAGTGGGAGAAAGTTTCAGCAATCAGGGTGATGAAAAAAGAAATAGGATAAACGTCCCTTCCCTGCTATTTTTCCCCACCAAGTGGCTTCCCAGCTCAGAGCAAGCTAACCCCAGGGGCAGAAGCAGGCGCTGGGAGTCTGCAGCTGGGTAAGTTCCCAAGCTGTAGCGGATTTAGGGGCTAAGCAACATCTGGCAATCATTACGCAGCACTGGGAACATCTGGATGCAATCATGGACTTAGGCAAAGGCAGGTGAAAGGTTGGGCATACGAAGGCGGGTGTGTGATTTCCCTCTCCAAGGGAGAGGAAGGAATCACCCATAGAAGGGCGGATCCAGGGGAAGGGCTGTTTGATTGCCTTGAAAATATGGGAAATCTGGCAAAAGGGTGTGTGTTGGCAGGCGGGGGTGGGGTGGGTGGGGGAGATATAGACAGTAACAGTAGGTCTAAAATGGTGACTGAACTGTGATACAGAAAGAGATAAACCAAATCCGAAGCAGTGCAAATAATATTTTTTATTAGTACTGCATTTCAACAGACAATAAATCCCTCCCCCTCTGAAGCAAAGATCTATCCAAGTCAGTGGCCCTTAGTCCTGCAAAAACTACAGGTCCATCAGACCATGCCGTTTTGTAGTACTGCTATATGCAGAACCCTGATGCAGGAATGCCCCATTTTGCTTCACTGAGAGACCTTCCACACAGCCATATAACCCAGAATATCAAGGCAGAATAACCCACAATATCTGCTTTGAATTGGAATATCTGAGTCCACACTGCCATATATCCCAGTTCAAAGCAGATAATGTGTGATTTTATTAAGCTGTGTGGAAGGGGCCTGAATTGCCTTAATTTTCAGATACTAGGGTCTCTGCCCTTCCATTTGATGTAGCAGCTAAAACAATCTAGTGCTCTCCAGATACTTTAAACTATGGTTCCCATAAGAATAAGTTAGAATGGATTATGATCAGGAACTATGGAAGTCCTGGCTCAAAACGTGAAGACTGCCCATTGCTTGTTTCTAGGCATGAATGGGGCAGGATGGGAGAGAACAAAGAGACAAAGTAGTCATGCACTAAGAACAGTCTGTAAGCGCTGAACTGTACCACAGGTTTCTCAGATAGGAAAGCATCTGGAGGCCACTCATACATCCCTCTTTGATTTAGTTGTATCAATCATTCAGCCAAGGGTAGACTGTAGAAAATACAGTGGGAAGGAAAAGAAGCTATTGCCTGCCATGATCTTCCTTCCTGGGCTATTTGTTAACTGCTGATCCCACAGATTTGTGGAGGTCTACTTTTTAGGAACTGGAAGAAGACAATGCAGTTTTCATCCAGGACTAGTTGAAGAGATGGGTGTGCCTTCTTGTCTAGTGAGATTATAAAGAAAGAAGACTACTACATGGTTGTGCTGCCAGAAGTCAGGCAGAAAGCTTGGGCCCCTTTGTGGCAAGTCTTAAGGTCATGGTGAGAGAGGCTATTGGAACAACTGCATGAAGATCACTGTGTATGCCTCCATACATCTGAAAGAAGTTGTGGGATACCCAAATAAAGCATGCAGCTGAAATACTTTCAATTCTTGACTAGCTCAGGAGATAACTATTCTCCCCTTGTTCTTGTTCTTGAGATAAAGAATATCCAAAAAAAAAAGAGGAGAAAGGCATGTGGAAACTTTTAGATCCTGGATGCTTCAATTCTCCAGTTGCTTCTGGAGGAGCAACTTGTTTGCCTGCTTTGTACTTTATCTCTGAGCAAATTGCATTACTATATATCTTCTTTCTAACATCGTGTTTCAATAGGAATCTAATCTTTATTTTTCTTCAATTAACACCTTTCAACAGCTCTTCATGAAATCATGGTCCTGTCTAATGAACTAGATCAATTAAAACTCTTTAATAGTCTATAGAGAATTCGGTACCAATCCAGTCCTCTCCTTAATCATGAGGGCATTTATTCAAGTGTTTCCTCATTATCAAAAATATTATTTTGAGAACAAGTCCTTAGCCTTCAGTGAATTGTTACGATTTGCTATATTTTCTTCTTTAACAAGATACTTAATTAAGTCAATAGTTCTAGATTGATTATTAAAATGTTTTCTCATGTACTGATGAGAATGTACTGATTTGACAAAAGATCTGGGTTACACTTAGGGAACAATGATAATGGTTCTACTGCAATGAGCAATCTTTACATGGAATACAATGGCAGGCAGTAATGGATGTGTATAGTGAACATGGTACACAACCTCAGGGAGGCTCACAAGGGGAGAAAATGTTCTCTCCCTCACAACTTCCTCCCTTACATCCAGTCTTTACTTCCTATGGACAATTATCTTCACTAAAGGCATTATTAACCTGTTATCCAGAATTATACCGGATCAGACAACAATACAGTTTTTTAGCAATCTGGCCAAATGCACAATCATTCGTTCACCTAACATTTGAATATAGATCTAGACATGTTTCATTATTTTTGAATGTATATTTTCTGATTGTATATTAGATTGTTTGTGTCAAATAATATAATAATTTCAAAGAAAGAAAGTAAATACATTAATAAAGCTGATGTATTTTCGTTTTACCTTGAAGAATGCAAAGATCCCTATAACTGTGGAACCCATATTATGGTTTCACTTACCCAAGCCTGGGGAAAAATGGTCTTTCTAGGAATTTCCTGGGTCCTCCAGGGAATTATATGGTATGCTTCCCCAGAAGTTACTATAGAGTTGTATTTAAGGACATAGCAAGAGGAAATTTCTTTAGAATCTCTAGTTTTTCAACACAACCTTATGGTGTGCTAGGCCCATAAGTCAGATAATTTAATGGCATTCAATCATATCCAACTAATGTGGGAATGTATCCCCTGTGGGTAAAGGTGTCTTTCTGTATTTACATTTGAATAACTAGTTTAAAATTGTACTGATTTGACAAAAGATCTGGGTTACATTTAGGGAACAATGATAATGGTTCTACTGCAAGTACTGTCCATAGGAAGCGGAAACTGATTTTTTTTTTTGAGAGAGTGACTGTGCTAGTGAGATTTTCCTTCCTATATGAGCCTCTCTGGATGTCCAGGTTCTGAGGGAAAGGCTTTCTCTTGGCCCAGAATCATCAAAGGCACATTTGATGGGAATGTGAGATAGGGCTTTCATGGTGGCCCCTGTGGAGCTCCCTCTCATGGAAGGCTGACCTGGCCCTCTCTCCTTTCCTTCTACTATCAAGCAAATACCTTTTTATTTAGGCAGGCTTTGATATTTTTTGTGGAAGAGTTTTCAATGTTGTATTTTAGGTTTTTCTTTCTCATCTACTGTGTTTTAAATACTTCAAACCTTTAAGTCAGTGCTGTTTTAAATGGAAAGTTGCTCTTATAGATTTTAGCTGCACTCACTTTTAATCCATGATGTAAGGCACCTTGAGTTCCACATTGGGAGAATGGCAGGATATAAATAAAATTTTAAAACCCACTTTATTTTTTGTACAATCTAAGGATGTTAAAAGTTTAAATAATCTGGTAAAACCAACCTGCTTGGGCCTCCCTGCAGCCTGGGGGTGCTGAATGAGCCTCTTCCCAATTCCACTTTTAAAGGACTTGTGGGGGACAAGAAAAGAGGGGCAGTCAGGGGAGAGTGGTATAAGATAGCATTCCTTTCCGCTAGGTCTCTTGGATACAATGATTAACTCCAGCAGCAAGGGCAACAGGAGCTATAGTCCAACACATATGAATGCCATCAGATTGAAGAAGATCTTCACAGCACTTGTGATTCTAGTTTTATTCCTAATCCCAGAATGTCTCAGGGGTAAAAGGTCAACTTTCTATAGCTCAGTGTAAACTTTAGGTCTGAATAACATGCCACTTTCCAACGTCTGAGCTACAGCAGTTAGTAAAACATGTCCACCTAACCCTGGAACTCACGCAGCTGGAATCCAAACAACTTTCCCAGGGAAGCTAAATGCAGTTAGCATTTGGAAGCAGTGATATGATATGCATTTCAAAATAACAGGCGGAAAGATGAATAGAATGCATACAGTTTTTTTTACACAGTAGTAATGACATCCAAAAATGTACTTCAGGGCTGTATTCCTTCTTTCTCTCCAAGATACACCATACAGCAATACCACAGAGGAAGGGCTTGCCAAATCATTTCTCCCACCATCCCGAGTAATTGCTTTGGACTTGCACTGCGGATGAAAACCCCTGGGGAAGCAAGAGCCTGAAAAATGAAGAGGCAGAAGCAGCTTCCTCCCTCCCCACCAGCTAACCACAGAGCTAGATGGCGCCAACAGCAGAGACTGGCCATGGTTTGTCAAGGACAGAAATAATGCTTTAAAACTGTAAGAACTCCAATTTCCCATGTAAATAAACACAGTAGAAAAGCAAGGGGGAGGTGTGTAGCTTTAATAAGGCAAAGGGTTAATGACATTTGCATCCACAATAAAGATAATGTTAAATATTATATGGGCTACAAAGAGTTTTAGCGCTCCCAAATTGAAAAAGTATCAGACTCCCAAACTTCAGAAACTTCTAGTGTAAGGCAACTTATCTTTTCTTTTCTTAAATGCTTTTCTGACACATCTGTATAATTCCTGGCAATTTCTCTTTCTGATTTGTGTGCTTTGGACTTACTCTTCCCAAGCTACTCTGTGTTATCATAATACAAAGAGATAAACATACTATATTTGTAAAGCAAGAATTCTTGCATTCCTAAGGCTAGGCAAATTGCTTTGTTGAGAAACACAGAGATCCTAGCTATGGGAGTATTTAAAAAATGCCAAGCTAATTCAAGCAACAGAGGATTTTTCTAACCAAGTAAGTTCCAAACAGTTTGAAGTTCAAAGCATCCACACTGAGATGATGCTATGGGATAATATGGAAAGGGAATGGCCAGAAACATAATCAGTCAGCTGGATATAGAATATTGGGGGATCTTCAGTTGAGAATACAGGTAGGTGTGTGTGTAGTGGAAGGAGACAAGATTGATAGATATTTATAAAAGTGTGCATGGTGGTATGTACAAAACAGAGTAAAGTCTCTGAAATAACATGTAGTTTGATTCTAACTCACAAACTAGTAACACTCACGTATATAATAATTATTAACAATGTTTTGCTGGGACTTAGAATTCCCCATTGCTCAAGAACACTTACCCTACATTCAAATGGTCAACCAAAGCTTCTGTTACACAAGTGGCTGCAGCAATGGCCTCCCGTCGCCGCCGTTCTGGAAAGAAAAACAGAAACCCTTTCACTATTACATGATGTAACATGAGTTTTGTTCCTGGGTTATAAATGTCATTTCCTAATTGGCTCTATTATAAAAACACGGAAAAAGTTTATTTAACTGCAAAAACTTTGTTTTTGCTGGATATCCTGTAGCACATTTTGGTAGAGTTTATCAATGAATATCTCACAGTTTCAACCAATTTAAAATAGTTTGTGGCAGCCACAAAAAAACCTTTCTGAAGTATAACAACTACTTTCAAACTTTTAAACGGGAAATAACACTTTAAAACCAGGAACAGAATTTATTTTCAAATTTTATTACATAGTGTTATCTGAAAAGGATCATACATTTTTGAGTGGGGTACAAGGGAAAGATGTACCCACTCTTGCTCTTTCATGTCATTACTGTCTGAGAGCAAAATTATAACACACAGGAGATAATAATAATTTTATTTCTTACCCGCCTCTCCTTGTGGTCTGAGGTGGGTTACAGAATAATTAAAACATATACACATTGTAAAAAATACCACAAATACACATATTAAAATGTATTTTACAAAATATACATATTAAAATATATTTCTATAAAATACATATTAAAATACACAAAACAGAGATTAAACATTTTAACTGTGAATGTGGTTTAATGGTTTTTAACTGGGAATGTTTAAATACTGGTTATAGTTAAACCTGTTTTAATGATTGTATGTATATTTTTGAATTGTTATGCTGATGACTCTGCAAAGAAGCAAATAAAACAATAGATCACATTCTCAGCTGCTGCAAGAAGACCGCACAGACAGACTACAAGCAGAGGCATAACACCGCTGCTTATATGATTAATTGGAACTTGTGCCACAAACACCATCTGCCTGCGACAAAGAACGAGTGGGATCACAAGCCTGAAAAAGTTACAGAAAATGAACATGTCAAACTACCCTGGGACTTCTGAATTCAGACTGACAGTTTTGGAGCACAATACTCCTGACCTCACAATTGTGTTAAAAAACAAAGTATGAATTGTCGATGTTGCAATCCCAGGTGACAGCAGGATTGAAGAGAAACAACTGGAAAAGCTGACACAATATGAGGATTTAAAGATCGAACTGCAAAGACTCTGGCACAAGCCAGTCAAGGTGGTCCCAGTGGTGATCGGCACACTGGGTGCAGTGCCTAAAGACCTTGGCCTGCACTTAAACACAATCGGCGCTGACAAAATTACCATCTGCCAGCTGCAGAAGGCCACCTTACTGGGATCTGCATGCATTATTCGCTGATACATCACACAGTCCTAGACACTTGGAAAATGTCCGATGTGTGATCCAATACAACAGCTAGCGGAGTGATCTTGTATCATCTTGTTGTGTTTCAAATAATAATAATAATGTTTAAAATTCATGCTTTAAAACTGGCTGGGTAGGTGTGCTGGAAGAGGTAAGTTTAGATAGATACATGTGCTGTCTTTTCTTTTAACCCCATGCTTCATTCCTCCAGCTATTAGTGAGCATTATGGTACATGTACACAGTTGCCATGTCCACTCCAGCAGTACGACTCAATGTGCTGGAAGGAGAAAAGAACCATTATGATAAATTCAGAGGCAGCTGATAGGATTCAAAGACAAAGCCATGTCAGTTTGAAATATCAGTATGCAAAGCGGCATCTTTCCACAGAGGCATATAACCCAGAATATCAAGGCAGAAAGTCCCACAATATCTGCTTTGAACTGGGACATCTGAGTCCACACTGCCATATATTCCAGTTCAAAGCAGATAATGTGGGATTTTATTCAGCTGTGTGGATGGGGCTGAGGTCTTGTAGCACCTAAGAGACTGAGTGAATGAAGTTGGTGGCATCAGCTTTCATAGATTACATCTTTCTTGGATGCAGGTAGCAGGCATAGTATGTCTACACCAGGAGTCCTCAAACTAAGGCTCAAGGGCTGGATGCGGCCCTCCAAGGTCATTTACCCGGCCCTCGCTCAGGGTCAACCTAAGTCTGAAACAACTTGAAAGCACACAACAACAATCCTATTTCATCAGCCAAAAGCAGGCCCACACTTCCCATTGAAATACTAATAAGTTTATATTTGTTAAAATTGTTCTTCATTTTAATTATTGTATTGTTTTTAAGTGTTTTTTGCACTACAAATAAGATATGTGCAGTGTGCATAGGAATTCATTCATGTTTTTTTTTCAAATTATAATCCGGCCCTCCAACAGTTTGAGGGACTGTGACCTGGCCCTCTGTTTAAAGTTTGAGGACCCCTGGTCTACACTGCAGAATGAATGCAGTTTGACACTGCGTTAACTGCCATGTCTCAATATCATGGCATCCTGGGAGCTGTAGCTTGGGGAGTGCCTTGGCACCGTTTGTTAGAGAAGGCTGAAGACCTCGCAAAACCACATCTCCCATGATTCCACCTCACTGAGCCATGGCCCTTAAAGCTGGATCAAACTGCTTGTATTGTACAATATAGGGGCACTCCTACTTCTGTGGACAATCCTCAGTTTATAGCATGTGGATGGGCTGGGGAAGCTAAGGCCTTCTAGACGCAACTGGACTCCAACTCCCAGCAGCCACAGCCAGCCTGGAGGAGAAGGAAGAGAAGGAGGAGGATGGGAGCCTTGTTGGGCAGGAGTCTGAAGGCCGCGGGAGGCAGAAAGGCTGAGCAGCAGCTTCTTCAAGCGGCCCTCCCCTTGGGCCCAGCACCAATTCAGTTGAGGGACGGAGCAACTGGTCCTTCCCTCACCTTGCAGCTCTTTCCTCTCGCCCTGCTTCGCCTGGTGCTCCCTCAGCAGCCGGGAGAGCATGATGGCGGCCCCCACTCTCTCAGCCGCAGCGGTGGGTGAAGGATCTCCTCCAAAGCTTTGGCCCCTTCCGCGTCACGTGACGCAGCCCAGGTCTCACGTGACCTGGCGGGTGCGCGCGCGCGCGCGCTTTTGAAGAAGCGAACGCAAAAGCCAGCTGTAGCGTTGGCTTATAGGTGTGTATGTGGAGGGAAAGCAAGGGAGGGAGGGAAGAAAGAAAAAGAAGGGCAAGACAGGAAAGGAGAAAGGAGAGGAGAAAGAAAGAAAGAAAAAGGAGGGGAGAAAGGAGAAGGGCAGCGGTCCCAACGACACTCAAGCAACGCCTGGTACATACGCTTATGTGTGTGTATACATAAGATACAAATACATATCTACAAAGGTAAAGGTTTCCCCTTGACATTAGTCGTGTCCGACTCTGCGAGGGGTTGCTCCTCTCCATTTCTAAGCCGAAGAGCCGGCGTTGTCCGTAGACACCTCCAAGGTCATGTGGCTGGCATGACTGCATGGAGCGCCGTTACTTACCTGTAAAAGCAGTATCTATTGAGTTGTAGGTTTTTTAGGGCTGTATGGCCATGTTCTAGAGGCATTCTCTCCTAACGTTTCGCCTGCATCTATGGCAAGCATCCTCACTACCTCTGAAAATGCTTGCCATGGATACAGGCGAAACGTCACGAGAGAATGCCTCTAGAACATGGCCATATAGCCCGAAAAAACCTACAACAACCCAGTGATTCCGGCCATGAAAGCCTTCGACAATACAGTATCTATTGAATTACTCACATTTTGCATATTTTTAAACTGCTAGGTTCGCAGAAACTGGGGCTAACAGTGGGAGCTCACCCCGCTCCCTGGATTCGAACCGCAGACGTTTTAGTCAGCAAGTTCAGCAGGCTCAGCGGTTTAACTCGTGCGCCACCATATATATATAAATATACACACAAATATACACCTGAAAGCCCCTCTGCTTTCATCCCTTCTTTCGTTTTCCTCCCTTCATACCTCTTCCCTCGTTTTTCTTTCTTTCCTCTCTCCCTTCCCTTCTTTTCCCCTTCTTTTTCTCTTTCCTTCCTCTCTCCCCTTTCTCCCTTATCCAGCACTTGAGAGGGCCTATCTCACAATGTCTCCATGGCAACATAACTCTATGGCTTCTTCCTCGTTTCCTTTAAAAAATCTTTATTAATTTTTTGAATTTCCATTAAAATAGAGATATATAGTAAATTAATAAAGAAATAAAGCAGAACCAGACAACACCAAAAGGTGGAGAGAGGAGAAAACAGAGAGAGAGAAAAAAAAGAGTTAGAAAAGACAGATTAAAAGATTGTTAGGCCTGGACTATGATATTGGAGTCTTCCGGTGATCTGTAGTCCTTTCCTCTTCTTCCTCCCTTCCCGTCTTCCTGTCTTCCTCTCCTCTCATATTCTTACTCTTTCTTTTTTCCTTTTTCTCCTTTCTTCCTTAGCTAGATCAAAATCTTTTTATTTCTTTGTCTAAAATATTCTGTCCTCGTTTCCTTCTCTTCATACACATGTCACCTTTCTTTCCCAGTGACATCACAAAGTGCTTTATCGTCCAATCAGACACATATTTTGACATACACATACATATGTGTATACTTGCATATATTCTTCTTTTTGCTATATGTTTTCTAATATATTGGAAATTCCCTTCTTTTTCTCTAAACAAGAATAACCATTGTTGGCTTTTATTTATATACCTTTCTCTCTCTTTCCTTTTCTTTTTTCTATGTATTGGCAATTATTATTATTATTTGCCATATTTATATCCCGTCTTCTCAACACCAAAGGGGACTCAGAGTGGCGCACATATTACATACAATACATAACCAGAAAATAAAAACATACACATTAAAACATCAGCTAAAAACATATCAGCATTAAAATTATTTAAATCACATAATCCAATATCATAGTCCAGGCCGTTACAGTTACATTGCACCATTCCATGTTCACATATTGCACTAATCTATTATCCAAATGCTTGGTCCCACATCCAAGTTTTCATTGTTTCCCTAAAGATCAGGAGCGAGGGAGCTGATCTAATTTCACTGGAGAGTAAGTTCCATAGCCAAGGGGTCACCACTGAGAAGGACCTGTCTCCCATCCCTACCAACCATACCTGTGAAGGAGGTGGGACCGAGAACAGGGCCTCCCCAGAAGATCTTCGAGATGGTTCATAAGGGGAGATACATTCATACATGTAAGGATATATATAAAACATGTATTGGGAATATTCTTTTTCCCACAGGAAGGCAAGAACTCTCACTATGTAACAAAATTAGAAAAAAAAATCCGTTCCTGGTTTGAAAGTGCCATTTCCAGTTTAATTGTGTGACACTTACTTTGAAAGTAGTTGTTATACTCCAGAAACTTCTTTTTTGTGGCTGCCACAAACTATGTTGAAGTGGTCGAGACTCAATGAGATATTCACTGAAAAACTGTAGCAAAATGTGCTGCGGGATGTCCTGGAAAAACCAAAATTTTTGCAGTTGAATAAACTTTTTCCATGTCTTTATAACAGAAACACTTAGGAAATAATATTTATAACTCAGGAACAAAATTTGTGTTACATAGTGTCTCTGATCAGGACAGGAACTTTATCCGTGTCAGCTAAATCATCCAGTTTTAACTCCCAGCCATCTTTTCTTAGAGGACTGTAGCTAGAGCTTTAGCCTTGCTGAGGCACTTGTAAAATGTGAATGTTTTCCACTCCAGGGTTTTGAGTTATTAGCAGCTGAGTCACTGGGCAAAAATATAGGAACTCCCTCAGCATGCCGACACAGTGAAAGGAAAAGCTTTCACTTGCTGAATTTCAACCTGTCTAACATCTACACATTAAACATCTCCTTGTCTCTCTTAATGCAGTTTGTCACCACTATAATTTCCATGGCTCAGTACTATGGAATTGTGGGAGTTGTAGTTTTATCTTGTAACACGTGCCATTTGAAGAGGGTATGGGAAAAGGGCAGTTATGCAATTAGTCCAAACAGTAAGTCCCATACTGGAAATGATGATGAACTAAACAATTACGGTTAATGAGCTGGCTGTCGTTTTAAGGTGTCAGGGTAAACTTGGCCTTTGTTGCTGAAAAAGCCAAGAAACATTACAGGAATTAAATGTAGCTGGCTGTGCCTTCTGTCCAATAGGATGAATCAGCAAAAGATGACACAGTGGTCTGATGATCTCACTAGATTGATTGATGTGTGAATCAAAGCTGGAGCTGAATCAACGGGGAGGCAGGGAGAGATTGTAATCTTGGACTGAAATAAGGTTGTGGGTCGTGATGGTTAAGATGGAGAGCAAAACAAGAACATTAAAGAAGGCACAGAAAAAAGGTTCAGGAATGATTGAGGAATCAGCAAAACCACCTTATCTTATAAAACCCTATGGAATTAATGGGGTCTGAGAGCTCCCAAGTTGGGAAATGCTGGGCTAGATGGTTGTTTTTGTTAATACCACTGACTTGAGTAAGGTATATGTGCTTCCAGGTGACTTGAGTAAGGTATATGTGCTTCCTCCACAACCCAGGACACAGGATGCTGTAAGCTAGTGGTTCTCAACCTATGAGTCCCCAGATGTTTTGGCTTTCAACT